GCCGGAGGGATGGGAAGCATTCCTTTGTGTGGCATCTCCTGGCACACGGAGCCTTGCAACAGGCAGGCATCCCGCAGGCCAGACAGCTGCCACTTGGTCCCGAAGCTTCCCTGTTTCCTCCTCGCAGAGCTGATACTACAACCCCAGGCGCCCCACAAGGAAGGGCTGGCAGCAGGCGGCGTGTTTGAGACTGATAAGCAAGGTGTGCTGGCGGCGCGGGGCCCAGAGGGCTGCTTGCTCTGCCCTGTTGTTTCGTCATGGTGGGTTTCAGCCACTCTTGCCCTACTGGGCATTATCTTGCTTGAGGTCCAACTAGAAGGAGGCATAACTGACACTTGTGGGAGATTTGCAGGGTCCTGTGCCTGAGCAGCCGGGGGGATGCCCCTGTTTCTGGCACTGAGCCTTTGGGTAACTCCCCTTTTTGCCCTGGCTCCAACTAGAAGTAGAAAGTGGTGCTTGAGGCCGGGCGCGGTGGCTAAGCCTGTAATCCCAGCACTTTGGGAGGCCGAGACGGGCGGATCACGAGGTCAGGAGATCGAGACCATCCTGGCTAACACGGTGAAACCCCGTCTCTACTAAAAATACAAAAAACTAGCTGGGCGAGGTGGTGGGCGCCTGTAGTCCCAGCTACTCGGGAGGCTGAGGCAGGAGAATGGCGTAAACCCGGGAGGCGGAGCTTGCAGTGAGCTGAGATCCGGCCACTGCACTCCAGCCTGGGCGACAAAGCGAGACTCCGTCTCAAAAAAAAAAAAAAAAAAAAAGAAAGTGGTGCTTGAACCCCTGGCAGGCCCTGCTCCTGTAGCCACCCAGGACAGGAGGAAGCGCTTTGTGCTGCTGGTATTAGAAACAGTAGGCGCTCCTTCTGCAGCTACAGAAACTGGCCATTCATTCCCTCTCCGTCCTGGTTCAGGGACTATGTTGGAGAGACCCTGTCCACTTGTGTCCTGTGGATGCAGGACAGGGATCCCCACCTGCCTGCCTGGGGCGTCTTGTGAGTGACAGCCAGTGGGGTTTCCAGGCTCACCACTGTGCCCTCACCCCCACCTGGCCTGACTCTTTCCCTGCTGTGCGCCTCCCAACACCACAGGAGCTCGTCTCCACAGGCACCAGCCCCAGCCGAAGCCCCCAGCTTCTGCCGAGCTGGGAACACGTGGGCTGGTCCTTGGTTTCCACATTTCCCTGGGTCATTGTTTTCCTTTCTTACTAGATGCCAGCTTGTTTGCTTTGAGGAAAACATATGGGAGGTGGTGGCTTTAACGCTGGCTTGAGGACAGGGAGGCAGGAGTAGGCAGCCTCGGCTCACGGGCCCTGCCCAGGAGGGCTGCTCTCAGTGCTCCCCAAAGAACCAAACAGTCGGGCCCTGCTTCCTTAGGGGCGGTGTCACATCAACCTGTGCGTCACAGTGGCACAGCAGAGGTCCTGGTTGCCAGCGTGGTCCCTCCCAGCCTCATTTCTGTGACCTCCCCACCTGAGCCTGGGTTGAAAGTCAGTCATCCAGGTTCCTGGTTTGGTGTTCAAGGCTCGTCACCAGAGGGAGATCTGGAAGCTCATGCAGTTCTAGGAGGGCCCAGGGAGGAGGACCCAGGCTGAGCCCTGAACTGAGAACACCGGCAGTGAGTGGGCCAAGCCCCCGAACAGACACAGATGGGTGGAGTCCTGCTGCATGCTGGGGGTGCCACACACTGGCTGGGCAGACCCCGCACTGACCTCGACAGGGCTCTGCCCTAATCCTGGGAAAAAGGGAGGCTCAGCAGGCCGGCAGCCGTTCTCTTCCAAGCTGGACAGCCAAATCCCTCTTTTAAGCCCCCTGAATAAAAGAGCTGAAATGAACTTGCAGAATAAGCAGGCCCTCGGGGCCCCTCTGCTGCACAGCAGGCGGAGCGGGAGGCGCTCTGAGCAGAGCCCCCGGCCCTCCCCTAGTGCAGGGTCCCAGCAGGAGGGAGAGTGCAGGTGCGTGCAGGAGGCTGCCTGATTTCCCTGCAGGAAAGTGACCCAGCGTGTCCCGCAAGACCTCTCCGTGTTTATGGTAGACTGTGGCCCTTCACCCTGGGGGCAGGAGACCCTTGCTGCTCCCTCACTATCCCCCCTTCTTCTGTGGCCATTTCCACTCACCTGGGAGCTCAGGTGTCGGGGGCTGAGCAGCAGTGCCCCAGCGCGGAGCCTCCACGTGCTGTCCTCGTACTTCCTCCGTGGGTGCCGGGTGCCGCTGCTCCCCTGGGCGCCTCAGCCCAGCCCCTCTGCTGACAGCCAGCTGCTGTCTCTGCCTGGCTTTTTTGTTGTTGGTCGTCCTGGAGATCCAAGTGTCAAATTACCGTCGCGAGGGGGAGCCCGAGGAAGCCCTGCTTGGGAACTTGTCCTCCAACTTCATGTCCTGGTGCCTCACCTCTGCCCTGAGAGGGCTGCTCGGGGACAGGATGAGCTCCCTCTCTCCTCCTCCTTCCTCCTTCCCCTCCTCTCCCTCTCCCCTACTCCCATACCGTGGGCTGGGCCTGAGTTGGGAGCTGAAGAAAGAAGTCGGCTCATGCAGTTCTAGGTGGGCCCAGGGAGGGCCTCCCTGGCCAGGAGGACCCTGGGGAGGCGCCACCTGAGCCTGTGGAGGGGAGTCCTGCAGTGCTTTCAGATCTGGGGCACCCACCCTGCCCTCGGGAAGGCCACCCCTTCTGTCCCTCTGGCCACTCCCTGGCTGGCCCCTCCCTCTGGCCTCTCAGGAACAACAGTAAACAGTGGGGAGCTGGTGCCCTCCCAAGCCGAGCAGGAGGCTTTGCAGCCAGTCTCTGGGGAGGCCCTTGTACCACTCAGCGTCTGAAGGCATCCTGGGGGAGAACTTGGAATCCTGAGTGATCTGGGAGTGGCCTGCGTGCCCGGCAAGGCACCTCATGTTCCTCGTGAGGTGAGGGCCTTCTGCCGGGGCTGTGACTGCACTCCTGGCCCAGCTGTCAGGGCAGGGCTCCAGAGTCCAGGGGCCGGGCCCTGTGACATTTGCCTGGTTGTGCCACCCAGCAGGCCAGGCTGTGTGGAGAGAAACTGACCCCAGCCCCGCTGTCAATGGAGCTCTTTGAGTCCGAGCACAAAACCCCAGTGAGTCAGGGCTTGGGGAGGGCAGGGGGAGGAAGCCAGCCATGTGGTCACACCACTTGGATGCCAGAGCCTCCCAGAAGGCTGGACAGGCGGCCGCTGTGCAGATGCACGGACTCTTGGGGATGGACCGTTTGTCGCATTTACTCTTTGGAGCAGAGTGGGGGCAGGAGCACCCTCTGGTGGCCGCCTCGGCTGTCCCAGCCCAGGTCAGGCTTCCGAGCTGCTTTCACTCAGCTAAAGGAAAGTCAGCCAGGCCCTGCTTCCTTAGGGGGGTGTTACAATCAGCCTTGGATCTTTGAGCCTGCGCCTTGGGGTTGCAGCCCCTCAAAGGGCTTCTTGCAGCCCCAGCAGTGCTCACACTGGGAGGAGTTCTAGTTATAGCAGTTAACACCAGCTATTCTCGTCCCTGGGATGTGGCACCCCAGACAGCCCTGCCTCTGTTCCAGCATCTCCTCTTGGGCTTCCCTACCCTGTGCCACGTTCCTGGGGGCAGGAATGGCTGTTTGTAAGGAGCCTGAGAGAGCTATGGCCCCTCTTGCAGCCTCTGCACCTGCCCCAAGGGTCGACAGCCACCCCCATGCATAGGGAACAGAGATGTGACAGAGCCTCCTGGGCCAGCCAGAGGCTGCTCCCTGCTCCCAGCATGGGCAGAGGCCACTCACCCCAGGAGGGCTGCAGCAGGGTTGAGACAGAGGAAGACGAGAGGAGGACTCCAGGCAAGGCTGCGTCTCCCTGGCTAAGGCCCCACCTGTGACACCCTCAGAAGTTGATGATGGGACATATTACTACAGAGTCATGCCTGCCTTAGCAATGCAAATAAGTTTTGAGAAATTTAACTTGTCATTGCACAGTCACAGAGTATACTTAAGGAAATCAAACGGCAATTCCAGGGAAGAGAAGGAAAAAAAAATATTAAGCGGCATAGCCTCCTACACACCCAGGCCATGTGGTACAGCTTGTTGCTCCTAGACTACAAACCTGTACATCATGTTACTGTCCCAAGTACCATATGCAGTTGTAACACAGTGGTATTCACATATCTAAGCACACATAAGCATAGAAAAGGTACAGTAGAAATACAGTGTTAGAATCTTAGGGGACCACTGTTGGCTGTGCAGTCATTCCATGAGGTGTGACTATACTGTAATGCACTTCAGACATCTCAGCCATCTTCACTCAGTCCATGAGGTCGGTGCCTTGCTGCACCATCTTTTTTTTTTTTTTTTTTTTTTGAGACAGAGTCTCGCTCTGTTGCCCAGGCTGGAGTGCAGTGGCCGGATCTCAGCTCACTGCAAGCTCTGCCTCCCGGGTTCACGCCATTCTCTTGCCTCAGCCTCCCGAGTAGCTGGGACTACAGGCGCCCACCACCTCACCCGGCTAGTTTTTTGTATTTTTTAGTAGAGACGGGGTTTCACCGTGTTAGCCAGGATGGTCTCGATCTCCTGACCTCGTGATCCGCCCGTCTCGGCCTCCCAAAGTGCTGGGATTACAGGCTTGAGCCACCGCGCCCGGCCTGCACCATCTTACTGATGGGATGTGAAGTGTGTCACCCAAAAGACAGCCTTCATGGCAGAGCCGGCATCTGCACCCAGAGTCTGAACTCTGTGCAGTACATCCCATTGCCAGAGGACAGAGGGGAGGAGCAGAGGAGTAACTGGACAGAGTGGGGTTCATATCCTGCTTCCCGGGAGACCCCCATGTGTTGCGTGACCTCGGGAAAGTTTGTTCACCTCATTGTCCTCATCTGTAGTGGGCAGAGCCAAACGATGCCCGGTGCGGCTTGGATGAAATGAGGGGTGTGGGGCTCCTGGCATGATGCTGGACATGGCAGTGCTCGCTCGGCCAGCGATTAGGGCTCGGGTGAACAGATGCCAGCCGGCTGGGCTCTCCACCCCTCACCTCTGCGGTGCTGCCTGCTCCAGGTGCCGCCATGCTGCCATTGCCAAGTACTTCGGGGATGCGCCGCCTGCCTGCGCCAAAGGCTGCGACCACTGCCAGAACCCCATGGCCGTGCGGAGGCAGCTGGAGGCCTTGGAGCGCAGCAGCAGTTGGAGCAAGACCTGCATCGGGCCCTCCCAGGGGAATGGCTTTGACCCCGAGCTGTATGAGGGAGGCCGCAAGGGCTACGGGGGCTTCAGCAGGTAAGGGGCCAAGAAGCCAGGGACTCTAACCCACTGGAATCGTCCGGCATTCCCTTGGTGCTAAGGCCAGACCAGAGGTGCTACAATGCTGCAGTCCCCCCTTGGGCTGGTAGGACATCAGGGACATTGCCATCCTAGCAGCAGCACACATGGGGAGGGCAGAGTCCAGGCCAGGGCCACTCATGCCTGGCCTGTCCCTAGGTACGACGAAGGTTCTGGAGGCAGCGGGGATGAAGGCAGAGATGAGGCCCACAAGCGGGAGTGGAACCTCTTCTATCAGAAGCAGATGCAGCTGCGCAAGGTGAGGGGAGGCGCTCGGTGGCCTGTGCGGTGCCCCTGGTGGCCCCCTGCTCGCACCTCTCAGCCCCTTCTCTGGTGCTGGATGGGACTGTCCTGTGGCAGGGCAGGACGCCTCATGGACCCTTCATGTTGTCCTCCAGGGCAAAGACCCCAAGATAGAAGAATTTGTACCCCCAGGTCAGTACAAAAATGTTCCTAGAGGCTTGCGGGCTCTTCCCGGGGCATGGAGGGAGGATTCTCATCTGGGGTGTGGGGGACCTCAGAGTGCAGAAGGTGGAATGAAAAGACCAAGGACCTCCCCCCCCAACAGATGAGAACTGTCCCCTGAAAGAGGCTTGTAGCAGGAGAATCCCCAGGCTGACTGTGAAGGTAAGAGACGGGCAGCTCCTCAGACACCCCCCAGGGCCGTCCCCCAGCCTCGAGGCCGTGTGACCAATCTTACTCTCCTGTGCCAGGCACGGGAACACTGCCTGGGGCTTCTGGAGGAGGCGCTGAGCAGTAACCGCCAGTCCACATGTACCACTGATGAGTGAGTTCCACAGTCACTGGGCAGAGGAGCCCTCCAAGCTCTCGTTCCCTTGGAGACTGCAGGACACTATCAACCCTGGCCTGTTTGGGCCACCTCTCCCCAGATTGTACCTCTCCTACTCCAGGGGACTGCCCCTAAACCCCACCAGGGCCAGACATGGCTGCAACTTAGGTGCTGCCAGCAGCTGCTGAGGGACAGTAAACCACAGGGTGCCCAGAGAGTCCTAGTCAGAATCCCTGTGCCCAAGGCCTACCCCACCAGGCCTCGAGTCCCACAGGAGCTTGGCAGGGAGAAGCCCAGGCCCACCTGATACCTTGTGCCGGTTACCTTGCACCCACAGAGCTGACCTCCGGGCCAAGGCCGTGGAGCTGGAACATGAGACATTCCGGAATGCTAAGGTGGCCAACCTGTACAAGGCCAGCGTGCTGAAGAAGGTGGGCCTGGTGCAGGCGGACCAAGGGTTGTTGCAGGGGCCTCTCCATGCTCTGAGGCAGAAGCTGTCTGCCAGCTCTCCGGGCACGGGCACCCCAGAACCCACCCTCCCCAGCCCACCCCAGAGACAGTTTATGGGGGTAGAGCTCCATTCTCCATTAGCCGGAGGTGTTTTTAGCCAACCCTGTGAGGATGGGAGGCCTAAAACTTGCCCAGTAGTTAGTTGTCTGCAGCCACTGGCCACAGAAACCCACTTCTAGTGCCTAGTGGAAAAGGAGGGCTGGGTGGGGCATGTCAGGAGGAGCTGGCGGGTGCCACAGCCTCCCTGCCCATCCCTGCCCAGGTGGCTGATATCCACAGAGCCTCCAAGGATGGGCAGCCCTATGACGTGGGAGGCAGTGCCAACAGCTGCAGTGCCCAGGCTGTGCCCCCTGAGCCCAATGAGTATGACATCCCACCGGCCTCCCATGTGTACTCGGTGAGCTGTGGCCCAGTGGCCTCCAGACCTGTGACCAGGAAAGGCTCCACTTCCCCTCTGCCCTCAGGGGTGCACCTCTTGCCATGGCCTGGCTCCCCACCAGGGTCCTGCCTGCCTCTTCCCTCCCACACTCCTGAGAGCCCCGGCCCAATGTGAGCGACTGGTCCAGCCAGCGGAGCCCTCGACGGGGCCTGGTGGGCTGAACCTCCTCTCCTCCTGCTCACATTTACAGCTCAAACCCAAGCGGGTAGGAGCTGGTTTCCCCAAAGGCTCCCGCCCGTTCCAGACGGCCACGGAACTGATGGAGACGACTCGGATCAGGGAGCAAGCCCCCCAGCCCAAGCGGGGAGGCGAGCATGAGCCCCCGAGCCGGCCCTGTGGCCTCTTGGATGAGGACAGGAGTGAGCCCCTCCCTGGGCCCAGAGGGGAGGTCCCTGGAGGCAGCGCTCACTGTGGGGGGCCCTCCCCTGAGAAGAAGGCAAAAAGTTCCTCTGGGGGCAGTTCCCTTGCCAAGGGCCGGGCTAGCAAGAAACAGCAGCTCCTAGCCGCAGCGGCCCACAAGGATTCTCAGAGCATCGCCCGCTTCTTCTGCCGAAGGGAGGAAAGCCCAGCTCTGCTGGCCTCAGCCCCAGAGGCAGAAGGTGCCTGCCCCTCCTGTGAGGGGGTTCAGGGACCGCTGATGGCCCCAGAGAAATACACAGGGGAGGAAGATGGAGCCGGGGGACGTTCGCCTGCCCCTCCCCAGACTGAAGAGTGCCTCAGGGAGAGGCCAAGGTAAGGGTAGAGGTAGTCATAGAATCTTCTGGAATCCACATGGCAGCATCCCCTTTGCTCCCTGGGCGTCTGAAGCTCAGAGCTCATCCCTAAGATGGGCTCTCCTAGGCCTCCTAGGATGAGGGAGCCGCTAGGACCCAGAGCTGTGATGCCTGCTCTTCCCTCCACCAGCACCTGCCTGCCCAGAGATCAGGGCACCCCTGAAGTCCAGCCCACCCCTGCAAAGGACACATGGAAGGGCAAGCGGCCTCCATCCCAGCAGGTGCCGGCAGGGATGAGGCCGTTGGGAAGGAGAGAAGGGCTGTGGGCGAGGCCAGGAGCTGTTGTGCCCTGGTCAAGGGGTCAGGGAAAATCAGCGCTTCTTTCCACACCCGGCGGCAGATGGGCTGGGCTGGTGTGGGGGCGGCTGGTGTGGGGGCCTAGTCTTTGGAGGAGGGGAGCAGGTCAGTGGAAGGGAACTCAGGAGTGACCCTCTGCTGTGGCCCTTCTCAGGAGAACCCAGAGAGCCAGCCTCAGAAGAGACTGCGCCCCTCAGCCAAGCCCTCCGTCTTAGCCGAGGTCAAGGGCAGCGTCTTGGCCAGCGATCAGGGCACCTTGAATCCCACAGCTCAAGACCCCTGTCAGCTCTCAGCTCCTGGCATCTCCTTGAAGGAGGCTGCAAATGTTGTGGTCAAGTGCCTGACCCCTTTCTACAAGGAGGGCAAGTTTGCTTCCAAGGTAGGGGGAGTGGGCGGGCTCTGCCTTCTCCCAGGCCTGGGGTATGTGGGTGTCTTGGGGGTGCGAGGCAGGGAGTGTGAGCCCCAGAACACGGTGGGTCAGAGCAGGCTGGGCCAGGGCCAGTCCCGCACCCGTCCTCCCTGGGGCCTGCCTTGCCGTCGGGTCATGGCTGTGGGTCGCTCTGGGGGTCAGGGCAGGGTCCTGCTCTCTGCTTCTCTTCTGCCTCTCCCTTCCAGGAGGTGTTTAAAGCCTTCGCCCGCCACCTCTCACACTTGCTGACTCAGAAGCCCTCTCCTGGAAGGAGCGGTGAGCGCTGGCATTGCCAGGGCCAGGAGGCAGTTGGGAGGGTGGTCTACAGGGAGGAGGCTGACACTCGCGTCATGCCCCCACCCTGAATCTGTAGTGAAAGAAGAGGCCCAGAACCTCATCAGGCACTTCTTCCATGGCCGGGCTCGGTGTGAGAGTGAAGCTGACTGGCACGGCCTGTGTGACCCCCAGAGATGACCAGCTGGTGGCTGGGCAAGGCCCGCGTCCTCCACCAGATTCTAGCACGGGCCAGCCCGGGCCTCGCCTGCTTTTCTGAGTCCTCCTCCCTTCCAACCATACTTGGCTTTGGGGATGACCCCAGACACCCCCTGAATCCAGGTCAGAGGTCAGCCCACCTTTCTTTCTGCTTGCAAAGCCTATAGACCCTTCTCAGAGCCTCCCTGCCTCTCCTGGCCCTCATGGCTGGGTTTTCTAGGAAAACATGTCCGGGACAGAAGGTGGAGGGTGGTGGAGCTGCTGCCAGAAGAAGGTGAAGGAAGAGTGGCCCCTCCCCGAGTTTTAAGTCAGGACAAGGCCCACCTGTCCAAGGTATTGGGACCTATTCAGGGGAACCTCAGGTCCTCCACCCACTCCCCATCCATTATGATGCCAGCTTCCAGCCTTGCCCAGGTCAGAGCTGTGGCAGAGGAAAGGCAGCCAGGTCCCGTTTCTGCTCGGCTCCTGCTCAGGAAGGCCAGGCCGGACGAGGTGTTTGGGAGAGGAATAAAGTCGTGTGGTGGCGCATGCGCTCGTGCACACAGCCCTTTTCTCCGGGGAGTTTTATTTCCTCAGCAGCTGTTTCTCCCATGCCTGGGATTGTGCTAATGTGGGGCCTGGGCGGAGCCTGGGGCCGGTGGGCGTCTCCCTCAGACTAGGCAACCTCAGATTCCCCAGGCGAGTTCCTGCAGCCCTCTTTGGGCCCAGGCCGTCCTGGAGGGGCTCTGGCTGTTTTCTTTGCCTGTTGGTGACGTGATAGCAGCCCCTGCCTCATGGCCTGCATGTGGGCCGGCTGGGCTGTGCTGTGGCAGGTTCTGGAACAGTGGTCTGATAGCATCCAAGGCAGACCATCTGGGTGAGACTTGGGCCAGGGGAGGCCTCACCCTCGTCTCTCCCTGGCCTACACTCCTCTCAGTTGACGCTGGGCCACTCAGTGCAAGAGGCACTGCTGTCTATCAGGAAGACAGTGGTGTATAGCAGCTCCTGGGCCTGCCCAGAGAAAGGCCTGTTACAAGAGGGCTCCCCAACCAGCCCCTCGCCTCTGGCCCGGCCCACAGCACTCCGGAGCAGTGGGCATCAGCCTGGGCCTGGGCTCCCACTGCATGCCATGCCGGGGCGAGGTCCTCACATCCACCTTTCCAAGGTGGCCAGAGGCCTGGCCACTCACCTGTGGCAGCTCAAACCAGATGGTCTGGGGGTTGTCAGCTGAGCCATAGTTGAGTTCCAGGCCAGGGGGCCCCTTCTCCTCCAGTGGGCTTAGCAAGTGGAGCCGCTGCAGGCTCTTCAGGGCAATGCGACAGTACAGATTCTGGGGGCAGCAGAGAGCAGGGCTGGTCTCGTCTCCAGGGAGGGGTCACTGTGGGTGATGGAATGGCCCAAGGGTCCCTCGGCCAGAGCTGGGGCAAGAGCCCTGCCCACCTGGGAGCTGGGGTCCATGAGGATGAGATGCTGGCGGTTGAGCCCCAGGAGAGCGGGTCCCGACAGGGCCTGCATGCTCACTCTCAGCGCTACGTAGACGGTATAGCCGAAGAGGGGCAGCTGGCTCACGGCCTCTGCGGGTGGAGAGGGTGCAGGCAGGAATTCTGACTGCTAGGGCCCTGGAACCTGCGCTGCTTGGCCCCTTAGGTCAGCTGAGAGGGACAGGGCAGGTGCAGACCCCTCCTCGCCCCTCTACCTGCATTCCTTCCCTCTTGGCCTCCAGCCCCCACCCCAGCGGTCCCAGCCCCAGACCCACCAATGAAGCTGATCTGTGCTTCCTGGGGGCTGTGTCCTCCCAGCTGTCTCAGCTCCTGACCCATCAGGTTCTTGATGGAGGCCATGTTCACCTGCCGTTGCAGCTGCTGTGGCACATAAGCTAGCAGGTCCTGCCTAGGATGCGGGGCCGGAGTCAGTTTGGCCCCTGACCACCTGGTACAGGGCTGGGCATACAGCATGTGCCAAATAACTGAACCAGTGCCTATTGTGGGCAAGACTAGGGATCCATACACATAAATGAGGTGAGGGCCCTGAACCAGAGGAGCTCACGGTGGGGTGGAGAGGACAGATGTCCACCAGGCCCCGCTGCTCTGGGCCAGTCCAGTTAGGGCCAGGAAGGGTACCAGTCAAATGGCCTTGACCTTGGAGAAGGGGAGGGGCTTAGGGGCGGGAGGTGCCCCCACTCACTCTGAGGGAGTGTTCCTGTTGGCCTTGCTGAGGTGCTGCAGGGCGGCCAGCCTGGCGAGCTGCGCGTCCGCCTTGGCACTGACCGGCAGCTTCCCCTGGAGGTAGTCCCGCAGCACCTGTGCGGGGAGCATGGTGAGGAGAGCAGAGGTGGCCCAAAGCCCCCATCAGTTGGTGGCTCTAGGGGCTCAAGCCTACTTTTGCCACCGTCACCCCCCAGCCACCACAGACCCACACCCTTGTGGGGAGGAGGGCTTGGAAGTCGCCCAGGCAGGAAGCTGCGCCCTCAAACTGCAGCAGCGGCTCGGAGGCAGGCAGGCTGACCTGGCTGTAGTGGGTGCTGATGTAGATGGAGTTATCGAAGTGCAGTGGGGTCTCCCAGCCGAGCCGCCGGCTGTGCAGGCTCACGTCCTGGTCCACTGCCACGCTGTTGAGGTATTCAGCAGGCCGCAGGGGCCGCACCAGCTTGCCTGCATGGGGACCCTAGGTCCACCGCTGCTCAGACCACGCACACTCCACCCTGCCACCCCAGCAGAAACCAAACCACCTCACCCCCGGGTGGGGGAGGGGCCCCACAGTGAGGCTCCGTCCCCAAGCTCACCCTTCTCTTTGATGAGGAAGAGGGTGAATTCCTGCACTTCCTGAGGCTCTGTGATGCCCATTTGCTGGCACAGTTCCTCCTGCACTTCTGCTGCCACCTGGGCATGTGGACAGGCTGTGATGAGGGGGAGGGACGCTGGAGGGCCCAGAACTGATGCCCAAGGCCGCCTCCCTTGGTGGCCCCCAAGCTCACCGTGAAAGTATGGATATTCGTCTTGTAATCCACACCTCCTGGCAGGTGAATAAGAAGCAGGCGAGTGGCTTGTCCTTTCTGCCAAGGCAGGTTGCAGGGTCAGTCAGCCAGTGGTCAGTCGGCCAGTGGTCTCCTGTGGGGGACACCCCCCCACCCCAGGGTGTCCCACAATGCCCATCCGCCACCCCCAGTACCAGGAAAGCCTTCATTTCACCCGGTGGGAGCATCCACCGGCGCCCCCCATATTTGACTGTGCGCTGGAGGTGCTCCTGGCTGCTCCGGGCCAGCTCTGCAGAGGAGCCAGGCTGGGGTTATGAGGTGGCCAGGTCTCCCCGAGCCCTCCAAGTTCCCAGTCCTAGAAACCCCTGCCCCCCCTCCATCTCCCCCTCCCACGGGCACCTTGGCTGGGGCCCGAATCCTGGAGGAACTTGGTCAGGTAGGGCATCAGCCTGGTCGACGGAGAGAAGCAGCCTGTGAGAAGGCTGAGGAAGCTCCAGCCTCGAGTGCAGTGTTCCCTGCAGGGCAGAGAGCTCGGGCTTCAGGCTGGCCAGGCCACAGTGCCCAGCTGCCCCCAGAAGCCTCTCCACCCCACCGGTCCCCACTCACGGCCGGGGGTGTCCCGTGACCTGCTTGATAACCTGGCAGTAAATCTCATCCCTCAGCTTCTCCTCCTGGCACAGCTGCGGGGATAGGAAGGGCAGGTGGGGTGAGGGATGGGAGTGGTGAGCCTGGGGTCTGAAGCTCTGGAGAAATCCTGCTAGGCCGTGGGCGGGGGCTGGGTCAAGCTGTCTCCCTCAGCTTAAGAGCATCACTGCACTGGCTACTCAGTCACTCTCTTCGCTGCTTCCCTGTCTCCCTCTGCCACGCAGGCTGGAACGCGATGGCGTGATCTCGGCTCACTGCAATCTGTTTCCCAGGTTCAAGCAATTCCCCTGCCTCAGCCTCCCGAGTACTATAGGCGTGCCACCACACCTGGCTAATTTTTGTATTTTTAGCAGAGATGGGGTTTCACTATGTTGGCCAGGTTTAATCTCTGACTTCAGATGATCCGCCCATCTTGGCCTCCAAAGTGCTGGGGTTACAGGTGTGGGCCTCCGTGCCCGGTCTTTTCATATATTTATTTTATTTTTTGAGACAATCTTGCTCTGTCGCCCAGGCTGGAGTACAGTGGTGCCATCTCGGCTCACTGCAATCTCCACCCTCCTGGGTTCAAGCGATTCTCCTGCCTCAGCCTTCTGAGTACTACAGGGGTGCTCCACCACGCCCAGCTAATTTTTGTGTTTTTAGTAGAGATGGGGTTTCACCATGTTGGCCAGGTTGGTTTAGAACTACCTCAGGTGATGCACCCACCTCGGCCTCCCAGAGTGCTGGGATTACAGGCGTGAGCCACATGTCTGGCCCCTGCTTCTCTGATCTCTTAGTCATCTCTGCTGGCTTCACCTTAACTCCTTGACCTCTGAGCGGTGCCATGCCCTTGAACCTCTCTCTGTCTGCCCCTCTCCCTGTGGCCTCAGCTGCTCCCATCTGATGAGGTGCCTGCCTCCAGCCTTCTCCCTTGAACCCCAGACTCCTCCACTGGGAAGTCTGGGATTTCAGACCTCACGTGTTCAAAACAGATTCCTCCACCAGCCAAGAACTGCTCCTTGAAGACAGTAGTTGTCCTCCTTCCCGTAGCCCACATGCGATTGGTCAGCACACTCTGCTGGCTCTGAATCTTCTGCTTCTCCCTTGCTGCCAGCACCATCCCTCACCTGGGACCACTGAGATAACTTCCTTTTGCTTTTAAACTTAGACCCCCAGAATCCCAAACAACAGCCGAGTGACCCTGTGAAACGTAAGCCGAGTCTCTCTCCAGAATCCTCTTGGTGGTTTCCCATCTTTCCAAAAATCAGAAGCCAATGATGGCTACAAGGCCTGTGGTGGCCTGGACCCACTGTCTGCTCCCCGTCCTCATCCTCTGTTCTCCGTGCTGCTCACTAGTCTCAGCCACACTGGCCTTGCTGGTGTGTGATGATGCCGAGGCTTCCCACCACATCTGAACTGTTGCCTGCCCTTCTGTGTCACCCTGTGCTCACTCCTTCCCTCCCTGTAGGAAGGCTGCCACAAAGCCTTCTCCACTGCAGCAGCCCCTTCCCTGCATTCTTTTTTTTTTTTTTTTTTTTTTTTTTTTGAGTCTCGCTCTGTCGCCCAGGCTGGAGTGCAGTGGCCGGATCTCAGCTCACTGCAAGCTCCGCCTCCCGGGTTTATGCCATTCTCCTGCCTCAGCCTCCTGAGTAGCTGGGACTACAGGCGCCCGCCACCTCGCCCGGCTAGTTTTTTTGTATTTTTTAGTAGAGACGGGGTTTCACCAGGTTAGCCAGGATGGTCTCGATCTCCTGACCTCGTGATCCGCCCGTCTCGGCCTCCCAAAGTGCTGGGTTACAGGCTTGAGCCACCGTGCCTGGCCTTCCCTGCATTCTTACTCTCCAGTGACCTCTCACGCCCAGACACATAAGTTATCGTAAGCACTGCAGAGACTTAGCCTGCTGGCTTCACAGCCACACCCGCTGCATGCAATGGGTGTTCAGTAAATAGTTTGGAATGATTTGAAGGACAGTGACCAAGAGAAGGGGATCTCCTTCAAGCCCAGACAGGAGGACAGGCACAGATGCTGGGCGTCACACAGCCCAGGCTTACCTTTAGCAGTTCATAGAGCAGATCCATCTCATCCTTGCCCCGGGGCTTGGACTGGTCACCCATAAACCGCATCAGGGCTGCAGGCAGGATAAGAAACAGGGCACACAGCTGGGGCTGTGCTGGGGCTGGCCCCGGCTCATGCTGTTGCTGTGCAGGGACTTCACCTGCCATCTGATGCCTCACTCTCAAAATGCATGGATGCCAGCCAGGGTAGCTGGTTGCAGCTTGACTCATGGGGAGACTGAGGCTCCTGGGTACCCAAACCCCACACAGCACATAGCATCCTCTGGACCCATGGACTGCCTTCCAACCCCAGACTCCACACAACCCACAACCCTTGGGTGGGAGTAGTAGGCGGTGAGGGCCCTGGAGTCCAGGAGCCACCAGTGAGCTTCCCGGAGTTGGCAGACTGGGATGGAGCCAGGCAGAGCTCAAGGAGATAAAGGGACCAGACACCCAGGTCCATGGCACTGCAGACATGGGGACCCAGGATGCCCATGGCCACTCACCCAGGAAGCTGGCCACAGCCAGCTTGTTCACGTCATCACTGAGGCTGAGGAGCGACTCCTGAATGGGAGCCTGTGGCCAAAGAGAGGAGGCTGTGGGTCTGGGGGCTGCGGGGGTCAGAGGGCAGATCCATGGGCCAGATACCTCCCTGCCTCTCCCTCACCTTGGTGTACTGCACCAGGCTGTCTGTGTCCTTCCCTGTAGCACCTTCATCTGTCTGGCCCGGCCTGTGGGGGGCAGGGGGAGACAGCCCAGCTTGTTTGGCCCTCCTGCCCTCATCCCAGCCAGCCAGGCTGGGCTAAGAGCACAGCCTAGTGGTTCAGAGCAGGGCGCGCTCTCTTGGGAAGACTGAGGATAGACAGGCACAGGGGTCGGCCCAGTGCACTCACAAGGCCTGGGACTTCCGGAAGTAACGCAGGGCGAATTCCTGCATGGTGTAGTTGTGGGAGTCGGTGGACAGAGAGGCATAGGACACAGAGGAGGGCAGGCTGGTGGCCTCCGAGTCGTCACTGTGTGCCTGGCTCCAAGGGTGGGCAGGGCGCTGGGAGCACAAGAAACCTGGTGCCACCTGAGTGTCCAGTGCCCTGTCCCAGGGGTCCTGCCCCAGCCCCATCCCTCCCCAGCCAGACACCAAAGGAGCAAGACCGGAAGCCAGGAAAGTGAAGAGCTGTTTATTAAGCATCTGCTAGGGCAGCATTGAACTAAGTGCCACACGGGACCCAAGAGCAGCGCCCAGCCCAGCCCTGCCCTGCCCTGCCTGCAAGGAGTGCACAGTCTTGCTGGAGAGACAAGGCGAGCCATCAGGAGGGGGCAGAGGGGCAGCCACAGGAGACGGACAGCAGGGTGGTCCCACTGCATGGCAGCCTCGGGAGCGGTCAAACCCCTTTCCTTCCTCAGTCTCAGGCAGGCCTTGCCTGTGGTTCTCCTGCCATCTTCCTCACCTCTGAGGCCCTGTCCCACCGAGCCAGCCCTGGTTCCCCGTTGGACAGCTGACCCTTGTGCCAGCCACTCCTCTGCTCCTTGGAGAAGGAAAAGTCGGGAGCGGCAGCCGGCTGCACTATGTCCGCAGGAAAGAGTCCGGAACGGCCCCCGGCAGAGCCAAACTGCCAGCCTGGAAGGCACCCAGGGATGTGGCTCACCCGCCGGACCCTCCGCCCCTAGGCAGCCTCTGCCAAGTGGATGCCCTCCCTGTGTGAGCCCCTGCCGGCCTGTGGCGATACCTGGCTCCAGGGTGGCCACCGGCAGCAGCTTGATGAGGTCCCCACGGTGGAAGCTGAGGAGGCTGCAGTTGTCAGTGATGTAGCTGCGCAGGGCGATGACATAGCCAGAGTCCTGCGGGCAAGCGGGTGAGGGCCTGGAGCAGGGAGCCTGCCTGCGCCTCCCTGTCCTGCCTTCCCACCTGCTCCCCCTGCTGGCCTCCCCCTCCACCTAGCACCCCAGACTTCCAGGGATTTAGCCCAAACTCCCAGCCCCTGCCCCCACAGGGAAGACGGACGGGGAGATGCAGCATCGGTGAGGGCTGCCCGCCTGGCCTCCCAACCCGCACCCCACACTTGCCTTCTTAAGCTCACTGAGGAACAGCTTAACCAGCGCCTCGATGGCCCTTGCCCGGGCTGTGTGCAACACCAGCTGCTCGCTCTTTAACGACAGCTGCAGGGTGGAGCTGCCCCGGCACTCCACACCCAGCACCTCTGCAAAGCTGCGCAGGGGCCGGGCATGAGCTGGGGTCACCTTGCCACCTGCCCCCACCTCTAGCCCAGGGTCGTGGGCCAGCACACCTGTATGAGCAGAGAATCTTCAGCTGGTGTGGGCGGAGGCTGGAGGCTTGGGTCACCTTGAGCAGTCGCAGCCCGCGGTGGGACACGGCTAGCAGCTGCACGTCACTGCCACTCTCACCCTACAGGAAGGTGGTGGGTCTCAGGCAGGCTCCTGGGTCCTGCTACTGCCCAAGATGCCCTGGAGCTGCCCAGGGCCGGTGGCTGGGCTTTGTCCTTCCCCTGGCGCCTGCCCCCCAGCTCTCCTGCTTGTGGACGGTCCGTGCCCATGCACCCCAGGATCCAGGCTGGGGGCCTGGCATCCCAACTCCCTACCCCAGCGCCACTGACCGAGACAGGAAAGAAGCGGGAGAAGTAATTGGCCCAGTTGTCCCGAGCAGCCACCACGATGCGCTTCTTGACGCCATCTTCAGTGGTGGTAAGAGAATCCAGGTCCACCTCCAAGTCTCCTGTGGGCAGGAAGGACCCGGGCTGTCCTCTGCTCACACAGAGGGGGCTCTAGAGTTTGCTCCCATGCTGCTCCCTCCTTCAGGGCAGGCGCAGCCCCCAGCACTCAAGCTCCCAACTCCACGGTCCCTGGACCCATACCCAGCAGGTCTTTCATTTTCCGTCGCTCATCCTGGGAAATCCGGATACAGGACTCGGAGAAGGTGTCCCGCAAGATCTGGGGGCAGAGCTAGGTAGTCACCACTGGGTCCTGAGACAGAGCCCACCCCCAGAGCAGCCATCAACATGCATGAAGGAAAAGCTGGGGAGGTTGATGGAGGGCGCCCTGGCCCCCGTGGCCTGTATGCTAAGCAGAAGGCCTAGGTGGGGCAGGGAGGGACGGAGGGCTTGGGCCACCTCCATTCACAGGTCTCACATGTCCCCTCCCCTGCAACTGCCAGCCCTCCCTTTTCACCCACTGCCCAGAGACCCCATGGTAACTGCCCCTGGGTCAGCCCAGATATATGATTGTTCGGGGCAGGGGGCGGCTGCTACTGCAGAATCTGGGGGAACAGAGGCTCACTCCTGGGAGCGTTCAGAGGTGGCAAAGTCACAACTATTTATTAAGTACCTATTGCATGCTAGAGCCTGTGTTGTGCACTGTACACACTTTACTTTTCATCTTTATCTATAAAACTAGGTGAATAATGGTCCCTACTTCTTCTTCTTGTTGTTGTTGAGACACAGTCTCGCTCTGTCACCCAGGCTGGAGTGCAGTGGCACAATCTCGGTTCACTACAACCTCTGTCTCCCGGGTTCAAGCAATTCTCCTGCCTCAGCCTCCCAAGTAGCTGGGATTACAGGTGTGCACCACCATGCCTAATTTTTGTATTTTTAGTAGAGACGGAGTTTCACCATGTTGGCCAGGCTGGTACCGAACTCCTGACCTCGTGATCCACCCGCCCTGGCCTCCCAAAGTGCTGGGATTACAGGCGTGAGCATCGCACCTGGCCATGGTCCCTACTTTTTAGGGATGTTGTGAAGATTCAATGAAGGCAGGGCTGGGCACACAAGAAGTGGCCCCTAGTGCTGGCTGCCAACATGCCCTACGTGGTGTTAACCTGGCCCAGCCATTAGACAAAGAGCACCAGGGATGCTGCCTCTACAGATGTCTCAGGCTGGCAGGTGGGCCAGCTCTCACCTGCTCACAGAGCAGCCGCAGGTAGTAGGGATGGCTCAAGTTCTCCCGTGGGTAGAACACCTGGAGGAGGGCACAGAAGGGCAAAGATCGGTGGGTCTGGTGCCTCTGCCTAGCCAGCCTCTGCCCTCCCAGGCCTGGAAAATCAGCCTTGAGATGGTGGGCTGTGGGGAGGGGATGCTGGGGTTCCAGACTGGGACACACAAAGCCTGCCGCCTCCCTGCCAGCCCAAAGAGGCCAGGCCAAGGCCCCACCCTCATGCCCACCTCCTTGCGTAGGAACAACTTCCAGGGCTTGCCAGTGTAGGAGAAGCACACGCTGCCAGAGGGCGCGAGTAGCTGGGTGGAAACGCCCTGGTCCTCCATGGGCTGTGTCAAGCCTGGCAGGGAGGAAGGGGTGAGGAGCCTCAGTGAGGGGCTTCAGAGCCAGAGTGATGGGGGCACGGGAGGGAAGACCTTTGTCCCCAAGAACCCGCCAAGGGCCCAGCTCTCTCAACCTCCAGCTGCCTTACTCCTTCCACGGCACCATCTCCTGCCTCTATTTCTGGCCCTAAACTTTCTCTGGAGTCCCTGAGACTCGTGGGCCCTCTAAGACCATGTCAGCCAGGACCACTAACTTCCTCACAGAGCTGTCGGGTATGTGTCAGGGATAACACCCTGTGTGTGATACCACTGACTCCTCCACAGAGCCGTCAGGTATGTGTCAAGGACAACACCCTGTGTGTGACAGCCTCTCAATGACAGCCTCAAAGATGCCCAGGCCCTGCCCTGGGTAGGAACACGGAAGCTGGGACTCCTCAGCTACATATGGCTCCAAAGTCCAGAAGCCCAAACAGCTGGCCTCAGCCACACCAAAATGCCTTCAACCCTGGGCACCAAGAGTCTGTGCGAACCCTGCCTCTGCCCCAGTGAAGCCCACGGCGCAGGGGAAGTGTGGTTCCTTACAACGACGCTCGGCTGAAAGGGTCCCTGGGTCCTCGGGCAGAGGCAGTGGTGGCGCTGGTGGAGGTGGGGGTGTCTGGGCAGTGGGCAGCTTCTGGCCAAAGAGGTCCAGAAGGGGCCCCTGCTTTTCCTTGATGGAGCTAGAGGGCCCAAGCTGTAGTGGGGCCTTGGGTCGAGGAGCCACAGCTGGTGGGGGGCCCTTTCCTGGGCTGGAGGACAGCATCTGGGGGGATATAGAGAAAGCACACGGGCTGATTCACAGCACAAGGCCAAGTTCACCCAGTGAACTTGGGCTCCCCAGTGCACACTCTCAGGGGGACAGGTTGGGGTGCTCACCGGCGGGGACGAGTGGGCACCGTTGATACCCAGCTTGGCCAGAGCCTCGTCCTTGGGGTCGATTTTCTTCAGGAAAGTTTTGGGAGGCCTCGTGGGAGAAGCAAGAGGTCACTAAGTTCATAGGGTGATTCCCTGAGGAGCAGGACAGCCCTGGCCACCTCCCCCTGGGGGCCCACCTGGATGGCTGCACAGGCACAGGCACGGGGCCCGGGCGGCTCTGGTACATGCGGATGATGTTGCCAATTTCCCTGCTGGGTTGTGGCCGCTTGGGCTTGGGGTCTGAGCTGCGCACCACGATCCCCCTGCCTTGGGCTGGCCCTTGGCCACCGCCCTTGGCCGCTGTCTCCTTGACTGGCTCAGCCTCAGCCTCTTTTGCAGCTTTGGCCCCACCTTGCTTCAATGGCTTCTTCATGATGGGGGGAGGAGGAGGGGACGGCACTGACCAGGAAAACAGGAAAGACCGTCAAACGCTGTGCAGAGCCACAGGAGCCCCAGGCCCTGCCCAGCTCCCCACAACCTGCTCTTGTTTCCACTTCTTGCTCCTCCTGCTCCTCCTCCTCCTCCTCCTGCGCCTCCCCCTGGGGGATCTGGACCTTGGCGGGAGGCTTCACCGTCCTCACTGTGATCTGCGGCTGTCCTGCAAGTGTCCAGATGGCCTTCAAAGTTACCACACTAGCCCAGCTGGGCTCCTGGATGGGCCGCACCAACTCCGGGGAGCAGAGCACACCTCACCCTCCCTGGCCCAGGCTAGGGGCACTGGCCGTGTTTCTACAGGGGCCTGCCGCCCCAAGTGCCCTCACCCATCTTCTGGAAATAGTTCCGTTTCTGCTGGAAGCTCTTGGGCTGACAGGGCCTGTCTTCAGCCTCCTCGGAGGTCTCCTGGCAGGAGCAGAAGTGAGTGGCAGCTCAGCCAGCCTGGATGCCACACTCGCCACACCCCTCGGGTCCCTAGTCCTGGGCCAGTAGCCTCTTCCCTGCACTTGCCTACTCACCCTGCCCATGTCCCCTGCCCCTGCAGCCCCCACCCCACACCCCTTCCTGAGGACACGGTCACCTCCTCACCCTCAGGCAGCCACCCTCTGATTCCAGGTCATGCTGTGGCTTCTCCAGGGGTGTGGGGGGCTTCCTGGGCTTGGAGGTGATGGCTGAGGGTGAGGCCTGGGACGCCGCCTCGGAGGCCCGAGCCTGCCGCTGCCGCTGCTGCGTCTGCTGCTCCAGGGACAGGGTCATGGCCTGAGCTGTCATCTGCTGGGCCTGAAGCAGGAGGAGCAGCCGGTTCAGACCCTCATCCCCGAGCCATAGACCTCCCTCCACCAGGTAGCCCCAGGGCCCTGCCAGCACTCACCAGGATCAGTGCCTGCTGGTTGATGAAGTTCTGCTGCTGGATGGCCAGCTGCCCTGCGTCCAGGCTGGGAAGCGGCGGCTGCGGCGGCACCACCATGGCTGTGAGGGCGGCAGGCGGCCAGAGCGGTGGGCACCATGGCCAAAAGCTCTCCGCCCACTGTGCACTCGGGACTCCTAGCAGGACCCTCCCTCCTCCAGTCCCAGAGCTGGTGACTGCTCTCCTGAGAAGGGACTCTGGTGCCCCCAGCCCAGCCTTACCTGGCATGGCAGGGACTGTGCCCATTGCTGGCATCATGGGCATGGGTGCAGGGACCATGCCTGGCTGGTATCCAGGCATCTGAATCATTCCTGGGTACACTGAGGGAACACGCCCACCCCGTCAGTCCCTGCCTGGACCCACATGCCACCTCCCTCCAGCCCCAGGCACAGAGAAGAGCATCAGGCACCAGGGAGCTGGCCAGGGCACCGATCGCCATTGCCAGAGAGGTCCCAGGCCATGCCTGCCATGCTGCCGGGCCCGGAGGCCCTGGGTGAGGAATCAGCCCTCACTCACCCATGGGGTACCCCTGCTGCGTGGGCCCAACGGCGCCCCCTCCCTTCATGCGGCTGCTCAGAGCCCAGCTTTGTTCCAGATCCTGAAGGGACAGTGGTCACAGGTCAGAGTGAGAGCCCTGAGAAAAATGGAAGGGGCAGCAGAGACCCTGGGGGGTTGGGGCAGGGTTATGCAGGGGCTGTGCTGGACTCACACTGAGGCCGGAGGACATCACTGGCTGGAAGATCTGGTCCAGGAAGCCGTCCAGGCTCCCTGATCTCTGGACCTCCCCTGTGGGGCAGGGAGAGGGTTGGTGCCACGGCCCGGGGCATGGGGCTTCCCATGCTCTGCCAACCTCCATGTGCCCACTCGAGCCTTACCTGTGTGGTCCCTGCTGGGCAGCGTTGGGGCTGGACCTGGAGGGGGTCCTGGGGGCAGTGAGGGGGCCTGGATGCCAGGGGCAAGGGGAATGGCCTCGGTCCTGCAGGAAACAGGATCTAGTTAAGGGGGTGGCCAAAGCTGAGGATCACCCAGGCTAGGGCAAGAGGTAGGAGCTGCTGTGGGGGTCGCCCCATGGTTGGGAGGAGGCTGGGTGGGAGGGCTGGGCCTGTGGCAGCTCCTATAAACCCCTGGGTGTGGCAGGGTGGCTGTGGGGTTCCCCAGCAGGAGCAGGCCAGGAGAGCAGTGCCTGGGTGGCACTTACGAGCCAAGAGGAGTGATGGGGTAGCTGTGGGGAGCAGCTGGGTCCCCCAGGTCCTCAGTCTGGCTGATTAGGTCCAGCACAAAGTCGCAGCCAGCCAAGTCCTGCCATGTGTCCCTGGAATGCAGTGACACGGACCAGCCCCGGGGAGGCACCTCCAGGCCTCTGGGTGGGAGGGGAGCAGTCAGTGAGGCAGGCGGCCATCCAGAAGGGGCAAGGACCACAAGGCGGAGGACTGGGGAAGGGAGGGTGGCCCTGGAACCACCTGGTCCGGGACCCAGGTTGTCTCGGCAGCGGGGACTACTCCTCACCTCACGGCCCTCCATTTCCACAAGGGCTCCAGTGTGGGCATTATTTTCTGATCTACTGAGTTAGAATCTGGGTCATGGGAGCTCCCATGCCCCTCATTTCTAATCTGCTCTTGGCTCCCCATCGCCATCTGCAGTCTGGCCCCTGCCCACCCCAGGGCACCTCCCCTCCCTGCCCCCGAGACTGGGGGCACAATGATCACTTTGGCCACACTGTCCCCCATCCCTGGTCGCCATACCTGCTCTGCAGGATCCACCCAGCCAGCTGCTCCCCGGTGGTCCAGGACTCCACCTCGGCTGAGTAGCACTCCTCTATAGGGGCGCGGGGGTCGGGGGCAAGAGTGAGGGACAGCAGGGTCCACCCTGACAGGAAGGGGCTGCTGTCCCCATGAGGGTTTCAAAAGCAGGACAGAGGGGAGAGAGAACAGGGTCACTGAGGACAGGGCAGCAGGAAGGCTGGGGCAGGAAGGGGTTCCGGGGAGGGCAAAGGGGTAGGGCTGGCCCCACTTCAGGCCTGGGAGGCGTCAACTGAGGCAGCCCTCACCGCTGAAGGTGAACACGTCCAGCGCCATGCGGCCCCGCCGCCATCCGGCCATCCACTCCAGCTGGGTTGGAGGGTGGGCCCGAGTGGCCCCTGGGGCCAACTGCGACTGCTCCAAGGCCCCCAGCAGCTTGTGCTGGCACAGCGCTGCCATGCCCCTGGGGGCCTGGTCAGACACGAACCTGCAGGGCAGGCACAGGCTGCAGTGGAGGCAGGGTGATCCAGCGACCCCACCTGCCAGGTCCCCACCTTCCAGGCCCCTTACTTGAGCAGCGGCTTCTGCAGGACAGGCAGTGGGGGAAAGGCGCTGAGCAGAACAGCCATGAGGGCCCAGCCCCGCTGGCTCTGCTGTTCGTCTGGGTTCTGCCATAGCTGGGCCACCAGCTGGCTGAAGAGCTCATTCCGCAGCCCTGGCCGGCACTGCCCCTGCCGCACCAGGTATGTGCCCATGGTCTGCCTCTGCCAGGACTCTAGGGATCCATCCCCCAGGAGCCGCAGCATCTGCCGACATAGCTGGGTAAGGACAAGACGTGCAGGGCTCCCAGGCGCCCATTCTGTCCCTTCTCCAATGTGTCACCACTCACCACTTTGTTGATGTCCAGGGCATGCTGAGGGTTCTCTCCGTCCAGCTGGGTTAGGGGCTTCACCAGTGGCTGCCCTGGCCTGGGCAGGGATGGCTCCTGCAAGGAAGGAGGGCTAGTCCACGCTCACCAGCTGTCAGACAGACCCAGGGGAGCCCCACCGGAGCAGGCACTTCGGGAGAGGCAGAGGGCTGGACAGAAATGCATCTTAATGCTGTTTTTTTTTTTTTTTTCTTTTGAGGCAAGAGTCTTGCTCTGTCACCCAGGCTGGAGTGCAGTGGCACAATCTCAGCTCACTGCAGCCTCCACCTCCCAGGTTCAAGTGATTCTCCTGTCTCAGCCTCCTGAGTAACTGGGATTACAGGCACCTGCCATCATGCCCAGCTAATTTTGGTACTTTTAGTAGAGACTGGGTTTCACCATGTTGGCCAGGCTGGTCTCGAACTCCTGACCTCAGGTGATCCACCCGCCTCGGCCTCCCAAAGTGCTGGGATTACAAGCATGAGCCACCATGCCCAGACTGTATGTGCAGTTTTGAATCCTGCCTTTGTATTTACTGCTGAAGTCTGGACAGTTTCCCTTGTCAATAAACATCGTTAAGGTCATGACTTCAAAAGCAGGGCACTACTGCAGGTACAACAAAGGTGTGGCATCGTGGATCTAAATAACTTCTCCCATCCAATAACACTGATAACACTCTATGGTGAGACATTTACATTCAACGGTTATTTTCAGAGCAATTCAGCGCTATTCACAGCCCTAAAGGCTGGGGAGGGAGGAGGGAAATAGCTGAAAGCAGGGGAAAAAACGCAGCTTCTGCCAGGCAGGTGCTAACTCAGAATGGTGAGGCTAGTGGGAAGAGCTTAGGCCTGGGCACCTACCTGAAAGCCGATGGAGATGAAGCTGGAGAAAGGGAACCGGTCAATGTCTGGTGGGAGAGTCAGGCTGGGCCGGGCAGGAACCTCAGGGGGCAGGCACTCTGTGATGCTCCCAGCCAGGGCATCCTGATGGCCTGGGAACAAGCACCGGGAGGCAGCCCAGGAACACCCAGGTGTGGTACCTGGCCCTGGGACCACCTCCACCCCTCCCCACGAGCCATCAACCCCTGTCCACTGGGACCCAAGCAGTGAGCTTAGCAGAGCCTGGAGCGTCAGAGGGAGGAACCACAAGGGACAGACACATCCCACGGTAAAGGGACTGGAGAGGGGGTCCTAACAAGAGGACACCAACAAGACTTACCTTCCGCCGTCTTCAGCATGACAGCCAGCTCAGCCGGAATCTCCAAGCGCCCCAGCTCCTGGCAGATGGGGCCCATTTACCCAGGATCCACAGGAGGGGCCTAGGGACCAGTGTCCATCCCCACACCCTTACCCCCAAGATTATAAACATCCCCTCCAGAGACCAAGGATTTTTTTTTTTTTTTTTTTTAATTTGAGACAGGGTCTCTGTCACCCAGGCTAGAGTGCAGTGGTGCGATCACGGCTCACTGCAGCCTTGACTTCCGAGGCTCAAGCTCAAGCGACCCTCCCGCCTCAGCCTCTTGAGTAGCTGAGACTACAGGCGTGTGCTACTGTGTCCAGCTGACTTTTACTGTTTTTGTAGAGATGTTACCCAGGCTGGTCTCAAATTCCTGGGCTCAAGCAATCCTCTCACCTCAGCCTCAAAGTGCTGGGATTACGGGTATGAGCCACCACGCCCAGGCAAAGACCAAGGATTCTAACCCTGGACACTCAAACAAACAGAGCCCCAAGGACCCTCTGAGGGAAACCAAGAGCCAAGGGCACCCAGGTCCTCTTCTCAGGAGGTGCAATGTCTGGCCCTGAGGGACAGGACCCATAGTAGCACCCTGGCAGCCCTCTAAGCCATCCCAGTCTCAGCAGGTTCATAGTCCCACGTAGAACCCCCCACCTTCCAGGCCACCTACCATGCTTGGCACTCTCTCCAAGGCCCTTTCGCTGCTGTGCCAGCCCTGCCAGTGCCCAAGCTGTTGGAGGAGATGTGGAAAGAGCTGATGCCTCCCATGTGAGTCACCTGGGGGCACCTCCCCAGCTCTGAAGTTCAGCTGTCCCCTCCTGCCCCTGGGAGGTTCTCAGCAAAGGAGTGAGAACAGATCAGGAGGGGTCAGGTACCCCTGGCCCTCCAGGGCCCTCACCAGCCTTAGCGCTGTGGGCGTCCGTGCCCATCTGCCAGGGCACCGGGAAGAGGGCAGGAAGAAGGGAAGAAATGGTCCCAGGGGACAAAGTCCAGGCAGGGAGGGGTCAGAGAGGGGGTAGCACGTGGGCATTGACCTTTGAGCTGCTTTATAGACCTCAGATGAGAGTTATCAGGCAAAAGCGGGGAGCGGAAGGGGCCCAGGGGAAGCCTGGAGAGGATGGGAACCCTAGGCAAGAGGGAAGAGCCAGGCCCTGGGGAGAGTGGGCAGGAATGGAAGAAGACAGCACCTTCCAAAGGCCCCAGCCTACCCCGGCCGGAGGGAAAAGGGATGAGTTCAAGGAGCACTGTGTCCAAAGCCACAGTCCTTGAGATGCTGGGCTGAGAGGGTCGATGCTGCTGGGATTTGGCCAGTTCGGCCAGCTCAGGCAGCCTGGCTTCTACCCTGAGCTGCCCCCCACCAAGCCCCTGTACCTGCAGTCTCTGCCGCCTCCGGAGCAGGGGCTGGGCCACCAGCAGGATGGTGTTCAGCTGTCCCAGAGCTGCCCGCCGCCGGAGGCACCGCTTCCTGGAGGCCGGGAGAGGGCGGGGGCAAAATGAAGAGTCCAAACTTATGCTTCCTGCCTGGCATTGGAATCCCCTAAGCCTGGACATTCATGTAAAAACTGACTTTGGACTAGAGAAGCCCTGGATGCTTCACAGAAACAACAGGAAAAGAATAGGCTACTTCAAAAGAAGAGCAAGGGTCGGGTGCAGTGGCTCATGCCTGTAATCGCAGCACTTTGGGAGGCCAAGGCGAGTGGATCACTTGAGGTCAGGAGTTCAAGACCAGCCTGGCCAACATGGCAAAACCCTGTCTCTACTAAAAATACAAAAATTACAGCACACCTGTAATCCCAGCTCCTCAGGAGGCTGAGGCATGAGAATTGCTTGAACCTGGGAGGCAGAGATTCAAGTGAGCCTAGATTGCGCCATTGTGCTCCAGGCTGGGTGACAGAGCAAGACTCAGTCAGGAAGGAATGAAGGAAGGGAGGAAGGGAGGGAGAAAGAAAGAGAGAAAAGGAAGAAAGAAAGACAGAAAAGGAAGAAAGAAAGAAAGAGAAAGAAAGAAAGAAAGAAAGAAAGAGAAGAGAGAGGAAGAAAGAGAAAGAAAAGAGAAAAAGAAAGAGAAAGAGAAGAAAGAGAGAAAGAAAGAAAGAAAAAAGGAAGGAAGGAAGGAAAGAGAGAGAGAGAGGAGGAGGAGGGAGGAGAGAGGGAGGGAGGGAGGAGAACAAGTAAATTGAGAGGCTGTTTAGCCTGAGGGATTAAGATCTGACTCTGGGCCGGGCGCTGTGGCTCAAGCCTGTAATCCCAGCACTTTGGGAGGCCGAGGCGGGCGGATCACAAGGTCAGGAGATCGAGACCACAGTGAAACCCCGTCTCTACTAAAAATACAAAAAAAATTAGCCGGGCGCGGTGGCGGGCGCCTGTAGTCCCAGCTACTCAGGAGGCTGAGGCAGGAGAATGGTGGGAACCCGGGAGGCGGAGCTTGCAGTGAGCCGAGATCGCGCCACTGCACTCCAGCCTGGGCAACAGCGTGAGACTCCGTCTCAAAAAAAAAAAAAAAAAAAAAAAGATCTGACTCTGACTCTGGGCCTAGACTACCTGCGTTCAGATCAGTTCCCCGTATGCACACTGACCAAAAAAAAAAAAAAAAAAAAAAATCATTTCCCTTAGCTTGGCACGGTAGCTCATGCCTGTAATCTCAGCACTGTAGGAGGCTGAGGAAGGAGAATTGCTTGAGACTAGGAGTTCAAGACCAGCCTGGGCAACATAGCAAGACCTCATCTCTACAAAAAAGATTTTTAAAATTAGCCAGGCATGATGGTGTGTCCTTGTAGTTCTAGCTACTTGGGAGGCTGAGGTAGGAGCTATGATTGGGTCATTGCTCTTTAGCCTGGGTGACAGAGCCAGACCCTGTCTTGTAAAAAAAAAAAAAAGAAGCAGAACTTATTAAAAAGTAACATCGGCCGGGCGTGGTGGCTCACGCCTGTAATTCCAGCACTTTGGGAGGCCAAGGCAGGCGGATCACAAGGTCAGGAGATCGAGACCACGGTGAAACCCCATCTCTACTAAAAATACAAAAAATTAGCCAGACGCAGTGGTGGGCGCCTGTAGTCCCAGCTACTTGGGAGGCTGAGGCAGGAGAATGGCAGGAACCCAGGAGGCGGAGCTTGCAGTGAGCCGAGATCGCGCCACTGCACTCCAGCCAGGGGGACAGAGTGAGACTCCGTCTCAAAAAAAAAAAAAAAAAAAAAAAAAAGTAACATCATTGGCCGGATGCAGTGCCTCATACCTTCATACCTGTATCACAACTGTAATCCCTGTACCTTGGGAGGCTGAAGTGGGAGGATCACTTGAGACCAGGAGCTAGAGACCAGCCTGGCCAACATGGTGAAACCCCGTCTCTACAAAAACACAAAAAAGGCCAGGCGTGGTGGCTCACGCCTATAATCCCAGCACTTTGGGAGACTGAGGTAGGCAGATCACAAGGTCAGGAGTTCAAGACCAGCCTGGCCAACATAGTGAAACTGTCTCTACTAAAAAATCTCAGCTACTTGAGAGGCTTGAACCCGGGAGGCAGAGGTTGCAATGAGCTGAGATTGTGCTATTGCACTCCAGCCTGGGCAACAAGAGCAAAACTCCGTCTCAAAAAAAGAAAAAGAAAAGAAAAGAAAAGAAAAAAAGATTGTTCCCACAGTGTGGAAAACAGACTAGAAAAGAGAATGATAAAGGAGTCAGGACCATAGGTTCAGGTGGCCTCAGCAGGTAATGAGTTTCTCGTGACTGGGGTATTCAAGCAGAGGCTGCATGGGTATGGGGGGAATGCCGTCAAGGACAGTCACATGCCGATGGGGCAGGATGACTTGCCCTGAGGCACTATGTTTCCCCAACCTTGCCCCACCACCTGGAGGATGAGCCCACGGCCTCACCACACCCACTTCAGCCCTGGCTCCAATGCTTGCAGACCTGGCCTGGAACCCACGCATGCGAGCCTGCATCCGGGGCAGGACGCGCTGGCGGGAGATGCAGGTGTGGAAGCTATGGTGCAAGTTGACCAGGGCCTGGGAGCGCTGCTGGTCCCGGAGCTCCTCCAGCCGCTGCCAGCCCTGCTCCTCCAGCAGGACCTGTGGGCAGAGGTGCAGGCTGTAGGCAGGAGCCAGGAGCCAGCCCCGCCTGCTCCCCTTCTCTGGTCTCAGCCTCTTCCCTTCCAGCCAAACCATTTGTTCTTCTGGGGTGCTGGGGCCAGCCTGGCACCCAGTCCTTCTGTCTCCCACCACTTGGATGGATCCCCAAATCCTGGGTTTGTCCCTTTGGGCCCAGACTGCATCTCTCCTTTCCCATTCATGCTGCCCTCTGCACACAGGGATACACACACCCACCTTGGTGGCTCCGAGGTGACAGAGAGGTGATTCGGCCCCCAGCACCTGGCTCAGGATGGTACCACACTTCTCCCGGTCAGAGAGGCCTTCCTGCCCTTCCGACCCCAGGGCCTGGAACCTGCTCCAAGGATGAAGCTGAGGTCAGAATAGCCAGAACCTCCTTTTACACTTTTTTTTTTTTTTTTGGAGACAGAGTTTCGCTCTTGTTGCCCAGGCTGGAGTGCAATGGTGCAATCTCGGCTCACCACAACCTCCACCTCCCAGGTTCAAGTGATTCTCCTGCCTCAGCTTCCTGAGTAGCTGGGATTACTGGCATGCGCCACCATGCCCGGCTAATTTTGTATTTTTGGTAGAGATGGGGTTTCTCCATATTGGTCAGGCTGGTCTTGATCTCCCGACCTCAGGTGATCCGCCTGCCTCGGCCTCCCAAAGTTCCGGGATCACAGGCGTGAGCCAGCGCGCCCAGTCCTTTCACACTTGCTGTGCGACACCCTGAGCCCCTTGGTATTTATTCCATTTCTAGATCATTAAAAAAAATTGGAAGTTGCCTGCTCTATGCCAGGTGCTCAGCTGGGCGCCGAGACACTGCAGTGAACTTGGGCAGGGAGGGCCTCTGTGCTGGAGCTCAGGGGGAAAACAGGTGAACACGGTGTGCCCAGGAGGCATGAGGGCTGGTTCTGGGCTACGGGAGCAACAGGAATGTGGTTCCCAAGGCCTTAGTCTCCTTGCCACCCAACACAGTGGGTCTCAAGGCAAGTTTGTGGGAGGGAGGGAGGGTTGTGGGAGGGAGGGAGGGGTGTGGAAGGGACGGAGGGGCATGGCAGGAAGGGGTGGGTGGGGGAGTGTTGAAGGACACTTCACAGGTCCAGATCGTGGTACCAGTTTGGCTCAATGGACACTCAGTAGTTAGTCCATACCAAGAAAGCACTCTGCAGGTTCTGGGGACACATGGGTGACAGTCTGTGGTCACGGGATGCCACAGTGCATCAGGGAATGGTACAGATCAGCAGACCTGGTCTGTGCTGGGTGGAGAGTTGTACCTCGAAGCTCCTCTCACCCAGCTTCCGGGCTCAGGGCTTCTTGTTGGAGGTGACAATTGCCGTAGCTGGTAGGTTTCCAGATGGCAGAGACTGAACATGCTCCGCCCTGGAGCTTCTCAGGATCTGACTCAAGGCTGGGCACACCCATCCCTACTGCCTGCCTTCGGCTCAGTCCCCCAACCAGGCCATCCCCATTGCCAAGGCCATCACAGGCTAAGGAGGTCCGCAGAGCCCCGGGGTGAAGCTGCTATTCCTAGCAACCGCCACCTCCCTTCTGGGCAGCCACCAGCCCAGCTCGGCTGGACATCAACGAGAAGTGACTCCACCTGCCCACTCTGTCCCTGTCCTTGGGGGAAACTCCAGCCCTTCAGAGGATTCCCAAGAGGTCATCCAGTCAATAGCCAAAGGCCAGATAGGCAAACAACAAAACAGACAATGTCACCAGCTTTTCTCGAGGTTTCTGAACTCCGGGAACAAAGCCGCCTCCGGGTTCCGGGCAGCTCCGTGTGCCACCCCGCCCCTCCTGCCCTTCTGAAAGTCTCTTTTCTCACTCCATCCCCCCTCCCATCTCACTGCTTCAGCCTGCACTTCCTGGACAGCTGCCGTGGGTATTAGACTGTGAGCCCCGCCCAGGGCAGGTACTGCTCCCACCTCATCTCTGGTGCCCGGGAAATCAGCACAGGAAAGGTTTGCAGAGAGGAGGAGAAATGATGAATGGTCGAAGAGAGTGAGATGGAGAGAGAGAGAGAGAGAAAGAGGATGAGAGGACGAGGAGACAGACGGAGGGTTGGGGGCTAGGCCCAGTCCTGGGCAGAGTGAGTCCATCTCCAATCGGAAGGACCCCCAGGGCTGCCGGTCACTCCCGGGGCCTCCTTGTCAGTCCTGCCCTGAGGTGCTGGGCCCCACCTGGCCAGGAAGGCCCCAAAGGGCACACGCACGGGGAAGTTGGCACTGCGGGTGCCCACGGCCTCCAGTATGGCTGCCTGGTGCAGTTGCTCTGTCACATGTCCCACGTCAAAGAGGCCTGGAAGCTGTGGCCACAAGACAGAGCCAAAGACAGCTGGAGTCAAGGGGCCTGGAGCTGTGCGGAGGGAGGTGCAGCGCGGGGGAGGGTCCCGAGGCCGGTTGCTGGGGAGCTCACCTTTCCAGGGTTAGGGTTGAGGCATTGGATGAAATAGACATGGCTCCTGATGAGGGAAAGGGGGGTCACTTGGGCACAGACCAGTGCCCCATATAACTCCCTGGGGTCTGGTGTGGCTGCCGCTGTTCTCACCTGCCCAGCCGGGCTATGAGGTCCCCCAGGGCCTGCTGGAAGCGAGAGGCCAGCGTGGGTCTGCCTCGCCCTCCCCTGGACTGGGGCTCTGCCTCCTGGAACAGGCTGCCCACCAGCTGTGGGGGTGAAGAGCTGAGCCAGCTGGCTGCTGGGGCCTGCCCATCCACCCTGCAGCCCAGGAGAGCCAGAATGGGCCAGCCCTTAGCATCCAGACCCTGGCAAGCTCAGCCCATGGCCCAAGGTGCCACAGACTTGAGGGCCAACCCTTGGGCAAGAGCACTCAGGGGGAAAAAGACAGAATTAGGGGAAAAAGTATGGAGCAGGTGGGGGCCTGGAAGGGCAGATGGGCACCTGGAGCTGGCTCTGGCCAAGCATCTCCACCACGGCAGGGTCCAGCTGATCCCGGTTTCTGTTTAAAAACTTGTGAACCTACAAGAGACCATGCAGGTGGGGAGGGAAGCGGAGAAAGGGAGGGGAGCAGGAACCAAGGAGGGGAGGCTGGGTATGGAGGAGAAGAATCTACCCTCTCCCCAAGTGACCTGAAAGGCTGCCTTGGTGATTTTCCAGTCCTTTAGCTAGCCATGGAATGTCACTGGACTTTCCATTCCACTCCATGGAAAGGTCCAGTCCCCAGCAATACCCCACTCTCCCCACTGGGGCTTTAACCTGTGCTAGTCAATAGCTTGACTAGACAAGAATGTTGCCTGCCTCTCCATGTTAAAGCTTTTTTGATTTACATTTTTCTAGCTTTCTTGAACTCCTTGTATTTCTTTTTTGGGGGGCAACTCCTGGGTAGTTTGTAGTTTTTCTTCTCCAAGTCAAGTGTGCCATCTCCTTCAGGGAGAACTGATTCTCCCTCCTGTCCTTCCCTTTATTCCAGCTCCCACTCCCCCATCCCCAGTGCCTCTCCTCCTGGGGTAGGCATGCGTGCAGCTTCTTGGTAGGCATAGAACTCAGAAGGGGGAGAGGAAGTTCATTCAGTGAGCACCTACCCTGTGCCAGGCACCTGCCAGGCCATCTCCACATTAGTACATCTAATCCTCACAGCAATGCCAGAGCTTAGGTCTCCAAGCCCATTTCACAGGTGAGGAAATGGAGGCTCAGAAGGTGAAGTAAACTGCCAAGGTCATCAGGTCCCAGGCTTGTGCTCTGCCCACTTGTCTGGAGGGCCCCAAGGCTTCCACTCCCTGACCCCATTATTGTCACCTAGAACTCAGTAAACCATGCTCAGAACTGGGCAGGGCCCATGGCTCAGGCAGGGGCAGGTGTCCAAGCCTTGCAAGGGGCCTCCCCACACCCACTCCTCTCCGCTGTTGGGTGACTCAGCTTGGGAGGGGACACTGCCCTCGCTGATTCACCCTGGTCTGTCCCTGAGGCCAGGTACCTGGTAGGTGACAGTCCCTGCATAATGTTGCACGGTGAACACGGGCAGGGGCAGCCGGGGCTTGGCATAGCTGGGGTGGTCACCATGGTGATAGTGGCTCTTCTGGAGGAAGGTGTGGTCCGTGGCCTAGGAGAGGAGCCACGCGCTCCCTTCACGCCTCTGCACAAGCTGTCCTTGCCTGGATGGTGCCCTCTCCCGGTGAGCACGAGTACTGCCTACACTGACTATAAGGGTAGGTTTGGCTACCCTTATAGTAGCTTTGGAGGCTGAAGTGGTCGGATCGTTTGAAGTTAGGGGTGTGAGATCAGCCTGGGCAACATAGTGAGATCCCGTCTCTACAAAAAATTTTAAAATTGGGCCGGGCACGGTGGCTCACGCATGTAATCCCAGCACTTTGGGAGGCCGAGGCAGGCAGATCACAAGGTCAGGAGTTTGAGACCAGCCTGGTCAACATAGTGAAACTCCATCTCTACTAAAAATTAAAAAAAATTAGCCGGGCATGATGGCAGGCGCCTGTAATCCCAGCCACTCAGGTGGCTAAGGTAGGAGAAGCACTTGAACCCGGGAGGTGGAGGTTGCAGTGAGCCAAGATGGTGCCATTGCACTCCAGCCCAGGGGACGGTGTGAGACTCCATCTCAAAAAAAAAAAAAAAAAAAAAAAAAAAAAAAAAAAAAAAAATTAAGAATTAGCTGGGTGGGGCCAGGCGCGGTGTCTCATGCCTGTAATCCCAGCACTTTGGGAGGTTGAGGCAGGTGGATCACCTGAGGTCAGGAGTTCAAGACCAGCCTGGCCAACATAGTGAAACCCTGTCTCTACTAAAAATACAAAAAAAATTAGCTGGGCATGGTAGCTTATGCCTGTAATCCCAGCTACTCAGGAGTCTGAGGCAGGAGGATCGTTTGAACCTGGGAGGTGGAGGTTGCAGTGAACCGAGACCGCACCATTGCACTCCAGCCTGGGCAACAAGAACCAAACTCCGTCTCAAAAAAAGAAAAAAAAAGAAAAAAGTAAAATTAGCTGGGAGGAAGGAATGATTGAGACCAGGAGCTTGAGGCTGCAGTGAGCTATGGTGGTGTCACTGCACTCCAGCCTGGGTGAGAGTAAGAACCCATTTCTAAAATAAATAAATAAATAAGTACAAAAAAAAGAAAAGAAAAGAGGCCGGGCGCGTTGGCTCAAGCCTGTAATCCCAGCACTTTGGGAGGCCGAGGCGGGTGGATCACGAGGTCAGGAGATCGAGACCATCCTGGCTAATACGGTGAAACCCCGTCTCTACTAAAAAAATACAAAAAGTTAGTCGAGCATGGTGGTGGGCGCCTGTGGTCCCAGCTACTCGGGAGGCTGAGGCAGGAGAATGGCACGAACCCGGGAGGCGGACGGAGCCTGCAGTGAGCCGAGATCGCGCCGCTGCACTCCAGCCTGGGCGACAGAGCTAGGCTCCGCATCAAAAAAAAGAAAGAAAGAAAGAAAGAAATGGGGATGGGGGGCTTTAGTACGGTTTTAGCAATCATTCCTGGGAGAATAGTCCCAGAATCACACGTGTTTGTATTTATTTATTTAATTATTATTATTTTTTAAAGACGGAGTCTTGCTCTGTCGCCCAGGCTGGAGTGCAGTGGCTGATCTTGGCTCACTGCAAGCTCCGCCTCCCGGGTTCACGCCATTCTCCTGCCTCAGCCTCCCAAGTAGCTGGGACTACAGGCACCCGCCACCGCGCCTGACGAATTTTTTGTATTTTTAGTAGAGACGGGGTTTCACCGTGGTCTCTTTATCTCCTGACCTTGTGATCCGCCCGCCTCGGCCTCCCACAGTGTTGGGATTACAGGCGTGAGCCACCGCGCCCGGCCTACATGTGCTTTTAAGCAACTCTTTGAAAGATCACTTTCAGGCAGGGTGCGGTGGCTCACGCCTGTAATCCCAGCACTTTGGGAGGCTGAGGCGGGCGGATCACGAGATCAGGAAATCGAGACCATCCTGGCTAACATGGTGAAACTCCGTCTCTACTAAAAATACAAAAAAAAAAAAAAAAAAAAAAAAAAATTAGCCGAGCATGGTGGCGGGCGCCTGTAGTCCCAGCTACTCGGGAGGCTGAGGCAAGAGAATGGCGTGAACCCGGTAGGCGGAGCTTGCAGTGAGCCGAAATCGCACCACTGCACTCCAACCTGGGCAACAGCGAGACTCTGTCTCAAAAAAAAAAAAAAAAAAAAATCACCTTCAAAAAGTAACTCAGTTGGGAATGATAGTAAGTCAGTTAAAACACACATAAACAAACACACACACACAAACACACACAGTAACTCAAGGACAGGTGCAGGTGCAGTAGCTCAGGCCTGTAATCCCAGCACTTTGAGAGGCAAAGGTGGGAGGATTGCTTGAGCCCAGAAGGTTGGAAACAGCCTGGGCAACATAGCGAGACTCCACCTCTATTTTTTTTTTTTTTTTGAGACGGAGTCTCGCCGTGTCTCCCAGGCTGGAGTGCAGTGGCGTGATCTCGGCTCACTGCAAGCTCCGCCTCCCGGGTTCACGCCATTCTCCCGCCTCAGCCTCCCAAGTAGCTGAGACTACAGGCGCCCGCCACCACGCCCGGCTAGTTTTTTGTATTTTTAGTAGAGACGGGGTTTCACCATGTTAGCCAGGATAGTCTCGATCTCCTGACCTCGTGATCCACCCGCCTCGGCCTCCCAAAGTGCTGGGATTACAGGCTTGAGCCACCGCGCCCGGCCTATTTTTTAAAATATAAAAATTAAAAAGTGACTTGGTTGGACGTTATTTTACTGAGCTAGTGAACATAAAATAGCAAGTGCATGGGGGAACTTGCCTAATGTTATGTAAATGAGAACTTGGGTTTAGGGTAACAATTCCAGGCTCAGCACCCACCGCGGACTCAGAAAATGGTACATGTCACATAAAATAGACCTAAGCGATATTGCTGAGCCTTGGAAAACCATGCTGGGGGATTCCAAAAGTGATCTTGGGACCTCAAAGACACTCATGACAAGTTTTAACAAAATGTTATGAAATGTGAACTGGGAGAAACAATCATTTATAAATTAACATGCTCTTAATTATTTAGTACAAGATTTTACATATGTATAAGTATTAAGAAATAAACATTATATATTAATGTGACCTGTTATTATATCATATTATACATGAAGACATGTATTACATTAATATGACAGTGATCAATGAACTATTACAATAACATATTTCACAATTTTACTATTATTTTTCACCTTTCATTTTCTTTTTTTTTTGAGACCCGGAGTCTCGCTCTGTCGCCCAGGCTCATGCCATTCTCCTGCCTCAGCCTCCCCAGTAGCTGGGACTACAGGCGCCCACCACCATGCCCGGCTAATTTTTGTTTTTTTTGTTTTTTTGGTTTTTTGGTTTTTTTTTGAGACAGAGTCTCACTCTGTTGCCCAGGCTGGAGTGCAGTGGCGCGACCTCGGCTCATTGCAACTTCCACCTCCCGGGTTCACGCCATTCTCCTGTCTCCGCCTCCCAAGAAGCTGGGACCATAGGCGCCCGCCACCACGCCTGGCTAATTTTTTGTATTTTTTAGTAGAGATGGAGTTTCACCATGTTAGCCAGGACGGTCTCGATCTCCTGACCTCGTGATCTGCCCGCCTCAGCCTCCCAAAGTGCTGGGATTACAGGCGTGACTGCAACCTCTGCCTCTCGGGTTCATGTGATTCTCCTGCCTCAGCCTCCCGCACCTGGCTCACCTTTCATTTTCAACCACTAATTGGGAAAATGTAGGAGGGTCGCCCCGTGTTCAGGATCTGTGGAAGTTATATTGAGCTTCCACAGAAACTCCCGCACCACATTCCAGCCTCAGCTCCTAGAGGCTCATGACCACCCCAGCAATCCCTGTCCCACAAACTCACCCACGGAACTGCGCAGGGATGATTTTGTATTTGACTTTGCGTACTTTTTTTTTTTTTTTTTTTATAATTAATTATTTTTTTTGAAACAAGGTCTCACTCTGTCACCCAGGCTGGAGTGCAGTGGCATGATCATGGCTCACTGCATCCTTGACTTCCTGGGCTCAAGCCATCCATCCACCTCAGCCTCCCAAGTAGCTCTAACTATAGGCTCGCACCACCACACCAGGCTGATTTTTGTATTTTCTGTAGAGACGGGGTTTTGTCATGTTGGTCTCGAGCTCGTGGGCTCAGGGGATTCACCCACCTTGGCCTCCCAAAGTTCTGGGATTACACGCGTGAGCCACCGAGCTTGGCCAAGGCCTGTTTTTTTAAATTAACATTTATCTCCTGCTGCACTGCAGGTTGTAAGAGGGGAGAGACTGGGTCTAATTTTGTTCACCTTTTATCCTTAGCACAGTTCCTGGCACAGTTATTCATTCATTCATTATTTCCTTAACACGTGCTGCAGATAGAGCTCAAACCCTTCAGACAGGCACCCACCCTTGTGGAGCCCAGTCTAGTGTGGGAAGGAGTCAGTGAATGAATGGACGCTGTGACTGCATGTGGATGCGTGCTGGACGCTGTGACTGCATGTGGATGCGTGCTGAAACGTGAAACAGGGACGAGCCTGCTATTCAAGTCTCAGCAGGCAGGAGGCAGTCAGGAAGCTTCTGTGGAATGAGGGGCATGATGCCCTGGGGCTTGTCCCAGACTGGTCAGAAGCCTCAGTAGCCACCTGGCCACAATTGTTAGGGACCTGCAGAAGCACTTCATGAGCCCCATGCAGTCCCCACCACCTTGCCCATCGGGCACTATTGTCCCCCTTCTGTGGCAAGTACATGAGGAACCTCAGAGGACAGATGTCATGGTCAAGATCACCCGAGACAAGATGTGAATCCAGCTCTGCGGGAGCCCAGGGTTCTTCCCCTTCACTGCTGTTGTCCCAGGCTGTGCTGAGGAACTGTGGGCAGGGTCTCTGGATCCCATAACCATGTCCCCTCTGGGAGGCTCTGCCAGCTATAGCCTGGACACCCAGGGCCACCACCCCTTCTTCCTGACACTGGATGGGGGGTCACCACCCTGGGCCTCACCTGGGACAGCCATGTCTGGGCATCCAGGATACTCAGGAGGCTGTGGGGCTGGTCTACCAGGAGGTCCAGGCAGGATTCCCTCGGAGGCTGACGGACAGGCACCCAGGACAGCAACTCCCGCCGACACTCCTCCTGGGAATAGCCGGCATTTGGCCATTTCACAGGAGCAGGGATAACCCTCCTATCTTATGGAATAGTATATTGAGGCTCAGAAGACTGAGATGCCTCATGGAAAGGGGTCTTCCAGGCACAGCTCTCAGTTCCCAAATTTCCTTCACCAAGGATGGCTTCTGCCTGGGCAATGCCTAAGCGGCACCTGCCACGTTCACGCCCAATCCCCTTACCTCTTCCTGCGCCAGCAGCATCTGGCTGGAGAAGAGCTGCAGGCGCTCGCTGGCGAGGTTGTTGCACAGTTGCTCCAGGCCATTCACCCGCAGGGCCTAGGGGCGTGCGGCAGTGAGGTGGGCACATGGGGCTGGCAGGGGCCAGCACACAGGCCTGTGCCCTTCCCACCACCCCAGAGGCTTCCTTCATTCTGGCCAGGGCGTAGGGATGAGTAATGCCCAGGGCTGGTGCTGTGTAGCCAACAGGGTCAAGTCCAAAGGCTCCAGCACAGCACATGGGCTACCTCAGCCCCGCCCAGCCCAGCCACAGGTCCCTCTAGTTGCCCACACCCCTGCCCTCTGCTGCAGCACTCCTGCGAGCCTTCGGGCCTCCTGTCACAGCCATCCTGTGGCTTGGAAGGCGCCTTTCCCTACTAACTAGCAGGCTGGCTATCAGAGTCCCGCATCCTCATGAGCAGGACTCCAGGCTGCTGCCTCCAGGAAGCCTTCCAGGCTTCCTCCTATAGGGATTACAGGCGCCTTCCTCTGTGCTCCCTCAGCACTCTCCTAGGAAGCTTCATGCAACTTTGTGCACCCTTGAAACACACACACAGGAGCTCGGCTGCATACACAGGCCACCGTCACCGCCAGCCTCAGGGAGGGCACGGTCACGAGGACACACTGGAGTGTGGGACAGAACAGGGGGCCATGAATAGTGCCCGTCCAGAGACTGAGGGCAGGGGCCACCTCCTCTCCCTCCAGCCCCCTCCTGGCTGTCCTGAGGCAGCAGGATCCTCTGTAAAGGGATGTAGAGTCTCTGCCAACTCAGACTGATGGGGGACTCTCCCTCTTCCCTTTCCTCCTAGCGTGCGGGAAGTGGGGTTGTGGGCGGGCCCACCCTGGGGCCTCTGTCTTCCACTGCCTTTGAGGCTCCTGTGTCTCTGCAAGGCCAGGGAGGACAGGCCATGCTGAAGGCAGGACCGGCCAGAGTGGGACAGAACGGCTGCCCCAGAGCACACAGCTCTCTCATGGACCATCTCCATTAAGCCTCTGAAACTCACAAGGTAGGTCCTGCTGGGATTTCTAGTTTATAGATGGGCATGCTGGACCTCAGAAAGGTTCATTCACTTGCCCAAGGCCACACAGCTAGTGAGTGGCAGGACCACTTCAAACCTCTGCTCTGTCTGCTGCACTAAGCAACTCTTCCCAGTGGGAGGACAGCACGGGCCAGGCTGGGGCTTGTGGTGGGCTCCAGCCATCCCAGAGAAGCCAAGAGCGCTCCCAGCCCAGGCTGCCCAGCCCAACACCAGAGAAGGGAGCAGAGGCCATGCTTGGATGAACGTGGGTGTGGGGCGGGGGGCATTGTCCTCTGGAGGTGAGTGGAAGCAAGAACTCCAAGGTGCGCAGCCAGTCCGAGTCCTCAAGAGATTCTAAATCTCCAGAGGCAGCCCTGCTCCTTTTCCTCTCCATCCCTGCACCCCACCCCAGCAGACTCAGCCCAGCAGATGCAGAAGGAGCCCTGAAGGCGCCCTGCCAGACAGGCAAGCACCTCGGGAGCACCCCCAGGGAAGCTGGAGCTGTGGGGGTCCCAGAAATCCATCAGAATTATATGGGTGCCCCCTTTTCTGGGCCCCACCCCAAGGGGTGACCTCAAAGCCGTAGGCATCCACGACAGTGATGGTGCCAGTGCTGCCTTCCTCCCCTGGTGGTGCCAGCCGTGCATTGGTCCGCCTCAGAAGCTGGTGGAAGAGGCGCGAATACAGGGCCTTGGCCAGGGCGTCCCTGTAGGCATGGCGGGAGGTGAGCCACATAGAGCCGTGCCCCGGGCCCTGCTCTGACTCTCACCCGTCTCTAGGGTCACCTGGCATCAATGGCGCCTTCCATGGGCAGGGATCGCGAGACCTGGCCATAGGGCGTCTCCTGGAGGGCAGAGGAGGCACAGCTGGTGTGTCAGGCCCACAGCCCTCAAGGTGCTTACTCAGTCTGCGGGTCGGCCAGGCCAGGCCCCTCTCCCCAGGACCCTCGGGCTCACCGTGACCCTCCTGGTGACAGCCCCCTCCAGGCACTCTGGTGGTACCCGCAGCAGCCGGGCTGCTGTGTGGATCTCGGCCCAGCTAGACACAGCAGCCACCTCCTGGGACTCCCGCTACACAGCGAGGGAGGGACAGGGAGAGCTCTGCTTCAGGAACGGACACACTCCCCAGGCAGGGCAGGCCAGGCTTTGCCCGGCAAGTGGCCCTGTCACCCAAAGGGGAGATATGTCACATGAGGAGATCTGGGCCCTTAGGAGCCAGGCTGTGGTTCTCAGGGCCCTGAGTTCAAGTCCTACTTTCCCTCTTCGCTGGCAGACAGCTCTGGCCAGGCTCCTTCCTTCCTGCGCCCCCATGGCCTCACTGCTAAAGGGGAAGCAGTAACCCTTGCTAGGGGGTTGTCTCACAAACTAAATTAGAAAACAAATGCAAAGTGATCTACACAGTGCTGGGTACATAATAGCTGCTTGTTCATTTCTTTTATATTTTTTGAGACAAGGTCTCACTCTGTCACCCAGGCTTGAGTGCAGTGGCACGATCACGGCTCACCACAGCCTCCATGTCCCGGGTTCAGGTAATTCTTCCATCTCAGCCTCCCCAGTAGCTGGGATTACAGGCACATGCCACCATGCCCAGCTAATCTTTTTTTTTTTCTTCCAAGACCGAGTCTCGCTCTTGTTACTCAGGCTGGAGTACAATGGCTCGATCTCGGCTCACTGCAACCTCCGCCTCCCACGTTCAAGCAATTCTCCTGCCTCAGCCTCCCAAGTAGCTGGGATTATAGGCATGTGCCACCACGGCCGATTAATTTTGTATTTTTAGCAGAGACAGGGTTTCACCATATTGGTCAGGCTGGTCTCGAACTCCTGACCTCAAGTGATCTGCCCATCTCGGCCTCCCAATGTGCTGGGATTACAGGCATGAGCTACCACGCCCGGTCTGATTTTTTTTTTTTTTTTTTTTTGAGATGGAGTCTCACTCTGTCACCCAGGCTGGAGTGCAGTGGCACGATCTCGGGTCACTGCCATCTCCGCCTTCCTGGTTCAAGCAATTCTCCTGCCTTAGCTTCTCTAAGTAGCTGGGACTACAGGCACGTGCCACCACACCCAGCTAATTTTTGTATTTTTAGTAGAGATAGGGTTTCAGCATATTGGCCAGGTTGGTCTCGAACTCCTGAGTTCAAGTGATCTGCCCGCCTTGGCCTCCCAAAGTGCTGGGATTATAGGTATGAGCCACTGTGCCTGGCCTAATCTTTTGATATTTTTTGTAGAGACAAGGTTTTGCCACGTTGCCCACGCTGCTCTAGAATTCCTGAGCTCAAGTGATCCACCCACCTCGGCCTCCTGAAGTGCTAGGATTACAGGCGTGAGCCACCACGGCCAGCCTTTTTTTTTTTTTTTTTTTTTAAATAGAGATAGGGTCTCTCTATGTTGCCTAGGCTGGTCTCAAACTCCTGGCTTCACACGATCCTCCTGCCTTGGCCTCTCAAAGTGCTGGGATCACAGGAGTGACCCACCATGCCTGACCATAGCTGTTCATCTAATGCCATCTTAGGGGTGGCAGCTTAGAGGCACAGACATTGGGAGAGTGGAGAAGCTCTAGGTCTCAGCTTTCTCATCTACACAGTGGGGATCTACCTGCTTTTCAGGACAGCCCAGCGCTCTGTAGTCTCCTACACACAAGCATTTGGCGTCATTACCACTGCCCTGATTCTGCAGACCCAGCACCCCGGATGGCCCCTGCCCACAGAGAGCCCACCTCTGAGGAGGAGAAGCAGATGTTGCCCAGCTGCAGGATGGCGGCCAGCACAGCCCAGATGGCATTCAACTCCTCCGGGCACAAGCCCAGCCCCTGCAGTGCCTTCACCAGCCCCTCAAAGTCCTGGGCATCCTCCTTGCCTTGGAGCCTGCAAGCCTGGCCCTGCAGGGCACAGCAGGGGTGAGGGGGTGGGGCCTGCCACCCCATAGCCTCCTGCTACTTCTCAAACCTCTGGGCCAAGATTCTCCTCTGGGCAGGCCTTCTCCCCGCCGCACCACAAGGGCTCCCCATACCTGGTTGAGGTAGTAGTAGGTCTCCGGTCCCTGCAGGGAGAGCCGCTCCCGCTCTATGGAGTCCAGCCCTGCCAGCAGCTCGTAAAAAACATGGAAGCTCCGCTCAGCCTGGGCCTTGGGGGCAGGACTGGCTTAGGGGCTCAGTGCCCTAGGGGCCCAAAGGCCACACCCTGACAGTGGCACCCTCTGCCCTTCCTACTCTGGGAACTGGGGAGGCGTGGATAGAAGGGCCGCCCTTACCTGAAACACCACCCTGGAGGTCTCAAGTAGATAATGAGACACAGAGGCTCCCACGATGACCCCTCTGGGGGCACAGAAGATGGGTGTGAGTGCCCAGGATGCAGACCACCCAGGGGCCTCGTGCACAAGAAGCCCTACCAGAGTCTGGACCCCAGGGAAGAAGCCCAAGGACCCAGCAAGGGTAAGTGATTGTAGGTGCCCCCTGTAACCCTGCCACTCACTGCTGTAGGTAGAGGCAGAAGACCTGGCCGAAGCGGCTGGCATTGGCATTGAGGATGGTCTTGGCATGGCCAAAGCTGCTGAGTATGGGCAGCACATCCTCCACCTGTACAAGGAGGGGTCTTCAAGCATCCCTGGGCAGCAGTAGCCCCCACCAGCAGGCATCCCAGCTAGGGGCAGGTCCAGGGAGGCGTCAGTCCCATCAGAAAGGGCAGTGCCTTCAGCTGACCCCAGGAGACGCCAGAGGCCTGGAGACCACCCCTCTCCTGGCAGAAAGAAGAAAGATAATCCCTCGGACATGGTCAGCTGTCTCCTGGAGGGAGATAGATGGCCAGCCTGGCCCTCACCTGACACCCTCGGTTCCGCGTCTGATCCTGCTCCAGGCTGCTTAGGAATTGCACGATCTTTTTGGAGGCTTCTGTCTTCCCTGAGCCGCTGTGCCCACTGCAGCGGGAGGAGCCAAGGATGTGTTGGTTGGTAGGGTCTCCAGGGAGGGGCACGTAGGACCACCCCACTGAATCCAGGAAGTGGGATGTGCCACCCAGAAGTGACAGCTAGCCTGGAGAGACCCCCAGAAATGTGGAAAGATAGTCCCAGAGCATGGAGAGACCCAACAGAAAGAAAAGTCCCCAAGATGCCACATTCCAGGGGCTCATGCGATGATTTCAGCTGGGAGCTCGGCCCTGTGGAGTCCAGAACTGTAGCCCGGCAATGGAGCAGACCAGTGGCTTCCAGGGAAGACCTCAGGCTCCGCCCCACCAACCCTCAGTGTGGCCCATGGGTTCAGCCACGCAGGACGGCCACCACTCACCGCAGGAGGATGCATGGGTCCTGCCCAGTATGCTGAGCCAGGTCATAGGCTGATGCCACGATGGCAAAGATATGTCTGAGGGAGATGAGAAGGTTGCCAGACATGGGGACCTGGGACCCTCCGAGGTGTAGCAGAGGTACTCACAGGCCCTGGGACCTCAGTCAAGGGGACATGCAGGGACTGGGCTGTCTGGGAGGTGAGCAGAGGGTCAGTGGGGCAGAGTCACATACGGGGTGGTGCTGAGGGCCTTCCTGGGGTGGTAGCTTGCCTGGACCTCAGGTGAGAAGAGAGGCAAGGGCCGGTGGGGGTTCAAAACAAGCAAGAGGGGCCCCCCAAAAGTCTGGGGAGGAAAACAAGGTGTCATCAGAGTGTGGAGGGAGCAGGGGGAATGTAAACAGAGCTCAGCCCCCAAGTCCCACTCTGCAGGGCTCCAGAGACGGTTCAGCGCCCAGCCCGGAGAGGAAGAGGAAAGAGAACCTCTAGGGGTGCTGGGGAGCCCTCTGTCCCCAGAGGAAAGGGGATCCCGGCCCACTGTCCCTCCCCGTGGCTCCCCATACATAGATTCGGCCCAGGTGAAATCTCTTCTTGAGGCACAGCAGCACAGAGCTGTCACACATCAGCCTGTGGGGACAACAGGGTGGAGGGACAATAAATTGTGGCTGCAGGAGGTTGTGAGTTAGTTCTGCTACCCACTGCAGGGACGCGTCGGGCAAGTCATTCAACCTCCCAGAGCCTGATCCATAAAATGAGGGCTGGGCTGTCAAGTAATGGGGAGGCTACAAGTAGGGCTGGCGCTGACCCAGAAGGAAGCTTTGTACTAATAGAAAGGCAGTCCTGGGGAGGTAACATCTGTCGCCCCTCACCTGCCCCTTCCTGCCAGGAGGGTTCAAGCCCATCCTTCTAAGGATTCAATAAGGGTCTACACGCAATTCATAAAGATGAGGGCAGGGTGGGTATGAGGAGCTGTGAGCCGAGGATGGCAGCTTTGGCAATGAGCCCGCTCACCGCAAGCGGGCCAGGTCCTCCATGTCTTCTAGGCCGTCTCCGAGGCTCCTGCCCTCGGCACCGGGGAAGGGTGGCGCCTCCAGGCCCGGCCCGAGGCTTAGCTCCAGGTCCCTCTCCAGCACTGCCTCGTCCTCATCCTCGGGTTCCCACCGCTCCCTCAGGGACCCGCGGAGGCCCGGGTCTCCCTCCTGCTGCAGGCGGGTCTCCAGGGCGAGTCGGGGCAGCAGCACAGCGGCGCCAAGCCTAGGACCCTTGCGGGGACCGGAGCCCTGCGCCCAGTGCACCGGGGGCTCGTCGTCCAGGGTCTCCGACTCCGCCTCACTGCTGGAGCCGCTCTCGTCGAGCGAGGGCCCGTCGGGGGCAGTCGGGGCGAGGAGGGAGCCGCGACGAAGCCCGGACACCCCTTCCTCACTCGCCCTGCGCCCCTCACTGTGCCCCCCTGCCCCTGCACGAGGCCAACTTCGGCCTTTCCCGGTGGGGGCATCTGTGGACGCTTCTTCAGAGCTGCGGCTGCTCGACGCCCGCCCTGCCCTGTGGATCCTGGGGAACACGACTGCGAACTTGGGATCTGGAGTCCCGTCCTCCTGATCGAAAGGGTCGTCGGGGACTGGGCTTGTCCGGACCTGCGGGGGGCGCGAGAGGACGCCAGGAGGAGCCCTCGGCCTACCCCCAAGCCCTGCTAAGCCGGCCAGGCGCAACGCTAGACGGTGCCGCAGCCCGGGCTCAGGGCCCCGCCCCTCGCCCCCTCTCTCGTGGTCCCGCCCCTCGTCCCCTCTCTCGTGGCCCCGCCCCTCGCTTCCTCTCCCATGACCCAGCCCGTCGTCCGCTTTCCCGCGGCCCCGCCCCTCGTACGCTTTTCCGCGGCCCCACCCCTCGCTCGCCCGTGGCCCCGCCCCCTGCCCCTCGCCCTCTGGCGGCCGCGGCCGCAGCCGAAGCCGCCGCCGCAGCCAGCGCAAGAGGCCCAGGGCTCGCGCTACACTCAGGAGCCGCTCCTTGAGGCCAGCGCGGCGGGGGCCCACGGCCTGGGAAGTGGTGCCTGGCGGGGACCTCGCGAGGAGCCTGCGGACCACCAGGAGGGCCGCCAGCGGGGCTGGGTCCTCCGGCCCCACTCCCGCTGGGGCTCCTGCTTCGCCCTCCCCTGCCGCCGCTGGCACCCGCCCCGCCGCCTTTCTAACCGGGTGGCGCGGAGCCCGGGCCGTCGAGGCCTGCATTGTTTCAGGCTTGGCGCCCCGCTGCGCCCGGTTGTCGCACGCGTCCTGGGCCGGCCCGGTATCCCGAGGAGCCCGCGAGCTGCCCTCGAAGGTCCTGGAGGCCATAGCTGCCCGGGGGCCCCGTCCAGGTCCGGTCTCCAGCAGACTCGAGTCGGAGTCGTCCCCGGAATGCTCGCTGGCTCCAAGGGGCCCCGTCCCTGACGACCCTTCCCGGCCCCAGGGATCTGCGCGGGGCCAGTTGCTGTCCAGGCTGTCGCTGCTTGGCTCCAGCGCTGACTCCGGCCCGGTTTTTGTCCCTTCCGAGCCCGTGACCCTAGGCTCCAGGGTGGGCCGCAGCTCCCGGGCTCCGATGCGCTGGCTGCCGCTCTCCTGGGCCTCGCGGGCTTCGCTGTCCGGACGGGAGCTGCCTCCGTCCCCACCCGACGTGTCCCCATCGAGGCTCCGGGGCGCCCGGCGGCCCCGCTGAGCCGAGGGCCCCGGATCTTTCCCCTTCCTCCTACGGCGGCCGCCCCGCCCTTCTCCTCGGGAGAGGCTGCCTTCCTCCAGGCGCCCCCTGCGGCCGCCCCTGGGCCCGCGTCCCTCACGCCGCGCGCTGCCTTGCCTCTCCTGGGCCTCTGGGGGCGACCCAGCCCCTGGGCGTCTGCAGCCGCCGTTCTCCTCTGCGATGGGCTTCCTGCGGCCACCAGCAGTCCCCTGGTCCCCGGCGGTGGCGGGCTGGGCGGCTGGTCTCGCCCTGACCGCCTGGCCGCGATCGGATCGTCGTTCCTGGCTGGGCGCGCCGTCCGCGCTGGCCGACCCCGACTCCTGCTCCCCTGAGGCCGGCCTCCCGGGCCTCGCCAGGCGCTGGGGCGCTTTGCCCTGGTTCCTGCCCATGGCTGGCCCAGAGGAAGCGGGCTTCGTGACGCCCGGGTCCTCTCCCCTCCCTGGGGATCTGGCCGCCCGCGGTGACCCTCTGTGCAGTGCACTACCTCGGCTCTGCTCTCGCAGGGGCTACAGGCTCCTTCTACTCCCCAGCGTGCCCGCCTTACAGGACCATCAATAATGCAGAGGGCGGCGGGTCCTGACCCCCTCGGCCAACAATAGAGCAGAGGCTCCCAGGAAACAGGAGACGCTGCAGCTGCGGACAGGGCAACCGTGCCACCGGGAGGCGCTGCCAGCCAGGCCAGCCTGGCACCGCGCCAGACTGAGGGGGCCCATGCTCCATTCCCACTGCAGTGCTTGCCCAACAGGGAAGGGCCCAGAGAACCTGTCTGGACCTCTTCCATCTGGGGGTTCCACGGGTCTGGGACCAGGCCCACCCTAGCACATGGCAGCACTCCATGAGTCGTTAGGGTGTTTGTTCTTTTCAATTGTGGAATAAATACAATTTACCGAAAAGTGGATAAAACATAAATGTACATCTTGAACTGGTGTAAAACATGCCTGTCTACATCCTTGGAGTTATGGAACAGAATCACACCCCATAAATTCCTGATTGCCCCAATGTGTGTGTTTTTAAAATACCTGTTTTTAAAACAGGTAATACATTCACATCATTCAAACATCCAAACATCACAAGATAAAAGTCTCCCATTCCTGACCCTCAGCGTACTCAGTGTTCCCCTGAGGTTACCCATTTCTGTATTTCCTTGCAAAACTTTCCATGCTGGCCAGGAGTGGTGGCTCACATCCGTAATCCTAGCACTCTGGGAGGCCAAGGTGGGCGGATCACGAGGTCAGAAGATGGAGACCATCCTGGCTAACACGGTGAAACCCCGTCTCTACTAAAAATACAAAAAAATTAGCCGGGCGTGGTGGCGGGCGCCTGTAGTCCCAGCTACTCTGGAGAGGCTGAGGCAGGAGAATGCTGTGAACCCAGGAGGCGGAGCTTACAGTGAGCTGAGATCACACCCCTGCACTCCAGCCTGGGCAACAGAGCAAGCTCTGTCTCAAAAAAAAAAAAAAAAAAAAAAAAAAAAAAAAAAAACACTTTCCATGCAGGGAAAAGCAAATATATTTTTCCCATTTAGCATAAGTGGCAGCTTATGTAGCTCAGGGGTCTCCACTTTGCCTTTTTCACTTAACAATGTAACCTGGTGATTTCATAATAATACCGTAAAAAACCAGCCTGCCTTCCTCCCTTCTCTCCTCCCTCTCTTCCTTGCAAATAAATGCACCATGGTTGAACCAATGCCTTATTGATAGGTTTTTATATCTAAAATGGATCCTGGCCAAGCGAGGTGGCTCACACCTGTAATCTCAGCACTTTGGGAGGCCGAGGTGGGTGGATCACCTGATGTCAGGAGTTCGAGATCAGCCTGGCTAACATGGTGAAACCCCATCTCTACTAAAAATACAAAAATTAGCTAGGTGTGGTAGCGGATGCCTGTAACCCCAGCTACTCAGGAGGCTGAGGCAAGAGAATTGCTTGAACCCAGGAGGCAGAGATTGCAGTGAGCTGAGATTGTCCCATCCTACTCCACCCTAGGTGACAGAGCAAGATTCCCTCTCAAAAAAAAAAAAAAAAAAAAAAAAAAAAGTAGATCCTGCCTTCATCTCATCTTTTGCTTAAGTTACAGCCAATATTGGAATAGAATTTCACCAGATTCTGCGTAGAATCAACTATGAGTAGAATTGCTGCACCATAGGGCACATGCATTTGCAATTTTGAGGTTTCCAAATTTTTCTCCACAAAGGTTGTGCCAATTTATATTACCACCACCACAACAGGGGAGACCACCATTCTTTTCTTTTTTTTTTTTTTTTTTTTTTTTTTTTTTTTTTTTTTTTTTTTGAGACGGAGTCTCGCTCTGTCGCCCAGGCTGGAGTGCAGTGGCGCGATCTCGGCTCACTGCAAGCTCCGCCTCCCGGGTTCACGCCATTCTCCTGCCTCAGCCTCCCGAGTAGCTGGGACTACAGGCGCCCACAACCGCGCCCGGCTAATTTTTTTGTATTTTTAGTAGAGACAGGGTTTCACCGTGGTCTCGATCTCCTGACCTTGTGATCCGCCCGCCTCGGCCTCCCAAAGTGCTGGGATTACAGGCGTGAGCCACCGCGCCCGGCCCATTCTTTTCGAACACTCTGAAACATGACAAAATTTCAGTGCCGCTTTGAAGAAATAAGATCTAGTTATCAATAGATCAGTAGAATGACTATAGATAACATTAATCCATTGTACATTTCCAAGTAGCTAGAAGATAACTGTTGGGAGAAAAGCTGAGTGTTGGGAGAGAAGCTGAGGCAGGGCTTGCATGTCTGCTAGACTTTAGCTCCTTGCTTCTAGCACTCCCATTATCTCAAGCAGCCATATGTTTCTTGTTCACTTGATACACTGTTTCCTTTCAACCCCCACCTCCTCACCACTTGTTTCTTTATTTGAGCACCAATAAATAGCCTGGGCTCCCAGAGATAGAGGCCTTTGCAGCCTCCACACTCACGATTGTCCCCTGGTCCCACTTTCTCTCTCAAACTGTCTTTTTCTCATTCCTTTGACTCCGATGGACTTTTGTGACTCCCATGACCTGGTGTTGGGTCTGATCACCCCAACAGAAAATGATTCAAATGTTCCTAGTATTAAAAAAAGAAAAATAGCCAGGTGCGGTGGCTCACGCCTATAATCCCAGCATTTTGAGAAGTCAGGAGATCGAGACCATCCTGGCTAACGTGATGAAACCCTATCTCTACTAAAAATACAAAAAATTAGCTGGGCATGTTGGCAGGTGCCTGTAGTCCCAGCTACTTAGGAGGCTGAGGCAGGAGAATGGTGTGAACCCGGGAGGCAGAGCTTGCAGTGAGCCAAGATTGCACCACTGCACTCCAGCCTAGGCGACAGTGCGAGCGAGACTCGGCCTAAAAAAAAAGAAAGAAAAGAAAAATAACGTGACAGATACCCTAATTTTGATTATATGAATATATCAAATTATCACATGTACCCCCCAAATAAGTACATGTAATATGTATCAATAAAAAATAATTTTAAAAACTAAAATAAAGGCCGGGCACGGTGGCTCACGCTTGTAATCCCAGCACTTTGGGAGGCCAAGACTGGCGGATCACGAGGTCAGGAGATCGAGACAATCATGGCTAACACAGTGAAACCCTGTTTCTACTAAAAACGCAAATTAGTCGGGCGTAGTGGTGGGCACCTGTGGTCCCACCTACTTGGGAGGCTGAGGCAGGAGAATGGTGTGAACCCAGGAGGCGGAGCTTGCAGTGAGCCGAGATCATGCCACTGCACTCCAGCCTGGGTGACTGAGCGAGACTCCAAAAAATAAAAAATAAAAATAAAATTAATTAATTAATTAAATAAAATAAAAATAGACCAGGTGCAGTTGCTCATGCCTGTAATCCCAGCACTTTGGGAGGCTGAGGCAGGCAGATCACGAGGTCAGGAGATCTAGACCATCCTGGTTAACAGGGTGAAACCCTGTCTCTATTAAAAATACAAAAATTAGCTGGGTGTGGTGGCGGGTGCCTGTAGTCCTAGTTACTCAGGAGGCTAAGGCAGGAGAATGGCGTGAACCTGGGAGGCGGAGCTTACAGTGAGCCGAGATTGCACCACTGCACTCCAGCCTGGGCAATAGAGCAAGACTCCATCCCCCCAAAAAATTAATTAATTAATTAAAATAAAATAAAAATAAACTCAGTGCCTCTTTAAGCTCATTTCTCTGTGAAAATAAGCAGCTCTCCCGCTCTTAGAGCCACTCTGCTTCCTTTTCTGAGACCACTCTTTTCTCATCCTTCCCCATCTCTCTATTCGGTGTGAGCAGGTCTGTTTCTTTTTTGAGACAGAGTCTCGCTCTGTTGCCCAGGCTGGAGTGCAGTGGCACGATCTCGGCTCACCGCAACCTCTGCCTCCCAGGTTCAAGTGATCCTCCCACCTCAGCCTGTAACTGGGATTACAGGCGTGCACCACCATGCCCTGCTAGTTTTGTACGTTTAGTAGAGATGGGGTTTCACCATGTTGTCCAGGCTGGTCTTGAAGGCCTGGCCTCAAGTGATCTGCCCAACTTGGCCTCCCAAAGTGGTGGGATTACAGGTGTGAGCCACCTCGCCCGGTCAGGACTGTTTCTTGATGATTAGACTGTTAAACCTGGGCAGGATTTGTGAGGCCACTTGAGAGCTCTGGGGCCAGGCAGCTGTGCAGGGGCAGGTTCAGGGCACCCACGATGGAATCAGATGAGTCATCCAGGTGAGGCCTGTGACCTACCCCACAGGGACTTCCGTGCCCCCACGCCCCCACTGACCGGCTTGCTGTGGCCTTTCCTCACCAGGAGCAGCACCCAGCACGGAGCAGGGGAGGTGACATTCCAGACTGCGGCACTTTCCCTCAGAATGCTCTCCTCAGCCCATGCCTGCCTTACGCCCATCTCTCTGCACACCTCCTAGAACCAGATTCAGACCTGGGTGCAGCTGTTGCCAGCGCCCACGTTGCCTGAGAGGGCTGTTCACAGCCCAGAGGCCAGGTTTGAGCAACAAGTTGACAGTGATCTGGCCTTTGCAGTCTGCATGCTCAAGGAGGCAGCCTTCTGGAGAGGGAGGCAGCTGTTCCAAGGACTACGAGCTCACGGGTAACCTCAGCCTGTAGACGTCTGCAAGCTGTACTCCCCCATTGCCAGCTGTGCTGGGGCAAAGGACAATGATATTCTGAGCACTCGTTTCTCCTGTAAGAAGCAGAACATGGGTGAGGTATTCACCTGGCGGATTAATACATAGCATTGAGAACTGTCTACAGCTGTCAGCAACAACATGGATAATCTTGCAAGCATAGTGGTGAGTGAAGGAAGCCAGGCATGAAAGAGTATCCACTGCATTCTATTTATATAAAGTACAAAAACAGGCAAAGTGATCTACAGAGTGGTCCCCCCAGGGTCAGTAGTGACTCAAAGGGGACACAAAGGAAGCTCTGAGATATGGGTGATGCTGTTTGTTCAGTTTGTGGGGATTTGCTGAGTCGTTCTCCTATGACTTGTGCACTGTTGGTTTGTATCTTTTTTTTCTTTTGAGATGGAGTCTTGCTCTGTTGCCCAGGCTGGAGTGCAGTGGTGCAATCTCGGCTCGCTG